AAGTCACTGCCTGCAGTGCCGGCATCCCATATGGGCGATGGTTTGAGTCCTGGCTGCTCCACTTCCAATCCAGCTCTCTGCTATGGCCTGGGAAAGCAGTAGAAGATGGTCCAAGTGCTTAGGCCCCTGCACCTGCTTAGGAGACCCAGAAGAAGCTCGTGGCTCCTGGCTTTGGATTGGCCCAGCTCAGGATGTTGCAGCCATTGAGAAGTGAACCCACGGATGGAAGACCTCTCTCTCTGTCTCTCCCTCTGTCTGTAACTCTACCTGTCAAATAAATAAACAAATCTTAAACAAACCAACCAACCAACCCATGGGGCTAACTCTATTTTCACTTTACTGTGCAATAGCTGACAGGTAACGAATGTGAAGGGGTTGCGTTCTGCCTACCTGGGAACCCCTGTGCCTGGCACAGAGCCTGGGACATAGTAGGTGCTTGACAATTGTTTCCTGACTTGAACGGCTGGCGATGCATTTGAAAGGCCTGGGGGGTGCTGCTGGTGGTGGCCAGTTCTGAGCTAGCTGAGCTCCCTGGCCCCCGGGTTGGCCGGGGCCCTCTGCCTGCCAGGCAGCTGTGCTCAGTAATCCACTCAACACCTCCTCCCAGCGCCCTTTTTAAGGCCCTGTGGCGCCTCAGCCTGGAGGCCACAGCAGAGATCCTGGGCTCGCGCTGCAGTTCCCATGTCTGGGTCTACACTGCCCTCTGGTGTGGTTTTATGGGATGAGCTGGTTAGACGCAGTTTGTGGTGGGTGACCTTTCCCTGACATTGGGGAAGAGCGGTTCCTCCCAGACCACCCTCCCCAGCGCCCCGCCCCCACCCCTTCTGTAGCTTGCAGCTCCTGAGGTTTAGCAAACAGGGATTTTCTATCAACGTCTAGGATCCCTCAGCCATCGAATAACACACCCTGCTAAGCTCAAGTTTCCCTCCATGCAGGCACTTTTTGCTCTGCCGAGACCTGAGAGAAACAGGCTAGAATTTGTTTAGTGTCTCTCCTCCCTCTGCTTTCTGTTGACCTCATTCTTTTTTCTTTTTTTAAAGATTTATTTATTTATTTGGGGCCAGCGCTGTGGCACAGCGGGTTAAAACCTTGGCGTGAAGCGTCGGCATCCCATATGGGCGCTGGTTGAAGTCTTGCTGCTCCTCTTCCGATCCAGCTCTCTGCTATGGCTTGGGAAAGCAGTAGAAGATGGCCCAAGTCCTTGGGCCCCTGCATCCACATGAGAGACCCGGAAGAAGCTCCTGGCTTCGGATAGCGCAGCTCTGATTCATTTATTTATTTGAAAGTCAGAGTTACACAGAGAGAGAAGGAGAGGTGCAGAGAGAGAGAGAGAGAGAGAGAGAGGTCTTCCATCCGCTGGTTCACTCCCCAATTGGCCACAACAGCCGGAGCTGCGCCAATCCGAAGTCAGGAGCCAGGAGCTTCTTCCGGGTCTCCCACGGGAAGCTTGTCCGCAGGACTTGGGCCATCTTCTACTGCTTTTCCAGGCCATAGCAGAGAGCTGGATGAGAAATGGAGCAGCCAGGTCTTGAACTGGCGCCCATATGGATTGCCGGCATTACCTACTATGCCACAGCACTGACCCCTGGGCACCTCATTTTTTTTTTTCGACAGGCAGAGTGGATAGTGAGAGAGAGAGAGAGAGAGAGAGAAAGGTCTTCTTTTTGCCGTTGGTTCACCCTCCAATGGCCGCCACGGCTGGCGTGCTGTGGCCGGCGCACCGTGCTGATCCGAAGGCAGGAGCCAGGTGCATTTCCTGGTCTCCCATGGGGTGCAGGGCCCAAGCCCTTGGGCCATCCTCCACTGCCTTCCCAGGCCACAGCAGAGAGCTGGCCTGGAAGAGGGGCAACCGGGAAAGAATGCGGCGCCCTGACCAGGACTAGAACCCGGTGTGCCAGTGCTGCTAGGTGGAGGATTAGCTTATTGAGCCACGGTGCCGGCCATGGGCACCTCATTCTTATGGCTTCGCCCAGGTGCCTCATTGTCTGTCACCCTTCCCAGAGCCACACTTTCATCCCTGGCAGCAAAATGGGGTCCTCCTGGGCAGAGAGGGGAGCTGGGGGCTAAAGTCCAGCCCCCTCTTCCTCTGACTTTGCCCTGGAACCTACTAGAAAGGCCACCTTCCACGACTAGGTTGGCTAGCATGAAATTGCTGATGTGGGATCCTGTTTGACCTCCAGAACAGCAACTCCATGTGCTTAGTACTTAATACTTAGTTAGCACTGAATTAGCACGTAATTCTTCCTGCCCAAGCCCTGCATGCGCTGAGGCTACCTGCAGCCCCAAGATTCCTGGGCTCATTCGCATCTGGGAGAGCCAGGCTCTGGGCACATCAGGCGTGTGGACTGTGGAGCTGGAAGGAGAGCCCTGAAGCTGGACAGCAGGCAGAGTTGGCTTCCAAGGCCTGGGGCCAGCCCCACGCCCCTGTGTTCCTGTGCAGGTGCCACAGGGACCTCCAGACTGGGCCTGGTTTGAGGCCAAGGGCTGGTGAGGGAACCCTGGAGAAGCCCTTCTTCTCTATGGCATTCACCCTCCTGGTGGTGCGCAAGGTTTTCTGGGAGTTTCAGCAGGCTTTGAGGGCAGACCAGTATCCCCCACTCCTGTCTCTGCTGACAGGGCTGCTAGGCATGGGAAGTCCTGGGCACCTGTAGGCTGCACAGGAGGCCAAGTTGACCTGGGGCAGCTCTGCAGCCTCAGGGACCCCCTTAGGTGGCTCCGGTGTCCACCAAGCCTCAGGATTGCTGCCCGTCAGGCCCCAATGCAGCAGGCATCTCAGATTTAGATCACTGTAGCATCGGATGCCCACATGCTGTATCAGAGTGCTGGGTTCAAGTCCTGGCTCCTGAGCTTCCTGCTAATGAGTATGCACCCTGGGAGGCAGCCGGTGATGGCCTGAGCATGTAAGTCCCTGCCACCCACATGGGGGGCCCAGATTGAGCGCCAGGTCCTTGGCTCCAGCCTGGCCCAGCCATGACTGTTGTGGGCATTTGGAGCGTGAACCAGCAGGTGGGAGCTCTCTCACTATCTGTCTGTCTGTCTGTCTCTACCTTTCAAATAAAAACAAATACATGGAAATAAATAAAACTTGCCCAAGGGTGGAGAACAAAGCGGCTGGGAGGTTTAAGCAGCAGTGTAACAGCAGGGTGTGAGCCACAGGTCACACACTTGTGTTGCTGTCACTGGCCCAACAGCTAGATCTTGACATCTTGGCTGTGTGTATGTATGTGTGTGTGTGTGTAACTTGGTTTCTTTCCTCTCAGGAGAAGGCAAACAGGAGAGAGCGAGGCTCAGCTCAGTCATTTTAAATTATCCATCCATCTATCCATGCATCCATCCATCCATCTATACACCCATATATCCACTTGCCCACCCTCCTATCCACCCAACTATTCTCTCATTGAAACAAATGGTCACTGAGTGTCTCTATGTGCCAGGCACTTTGCTAGGTGCTTAGCCCAGAGCAGTGGACTAAGACAAAAATCACTGTCTTCCTATCATTGCCAGCATCCTGGGTGACGCCATTAATAGCTCTGCTGTTGCCCAGCAAACATTTCTGTGATAAAGCTATTATCTCTTCTATCACAGGAGAATTAAACAGACAAAATGCTTATGTTTTGAAAAACTCTAATCAGAGGGAAGTGCTCAGGATAAAATACCTTAAAAGCCCAATTGGATATATTGCTAGATTGTAATTACATTAACATATATGTGCATTGAAAATGGACAGAGGGGCTGGTGCTGTCACGCAGCGGATTAACGCCCTGGCATGAAGTGCCGGCATCCTATATGGGTGCCAGTTCTAGTCCCGGCTGCTCCTCTTCCAATCCAACTCTCTGCTATGGCCTGGGAAAGCAGTAGAAGATGGCCTGAGTCCTTGGGCCCCTGCACCTGTGTGGCGCTCCGGCTTCGGATTGACACAGCTCTGGCTGTTGCAGCCATCTGGGGAATGAACCAGTGGATGGAAGACCTCTCTCTCTCTGTCTCTACCTCTCTCTGTAACTCTGTCTTTCAAATGAATAAGATAACTCTGAAACACTAAGCATCCTCTCAATACGAATGAATAGAAAAGGAAAGGACAGAGAGGAAGTAGCCCTTATACTTAAGGAGTGTGGCATCTTATGTTCTCCAGGACAGCTGTAAGATCCCCCATCCCCCAGGCTCTTCATACAATGTGTTGATTCTCCTACTAGGAGGTGGGGCCTGGGTTCCCTCTCCCCGAAGTGGAGACTTGCAAGGCAGTACTGCTCCTGCCTGGTGTTTCTGGGATGCCCATAGGTAGGTGACCTGGCAAAGGCCCCAGCGGACAATCCACTTGAGTCATCAGACTTCGGCAGAAGCTCTATCCGCCACCTGATGCCACCACAGGAGAGACCCCGAGGGTGAACAGCCCAGCTTCACCTAGCCAGCCCTCAAAACCCAGAGATATGGTGATTGTTGTGGTTAAAAGCCACAGAATTTGAAGCGACTTGTTATTCAGCAGTAGCTACATACCTGGAACAGTGGTTGATCTCTGAATTGTGAGACTGCGGGTATTAGCAATAATTTTCAATGTTTCCCAAGATTTCTATGAGGACCACTTACTTTGTTATCTGCACATTTTTTTAAATCAAAAATAAAAGCACATTTTTTGGGTCACTTCATTAAAGGTGAAACTAAGTCTAAATATGAATTTAGGGGCTTAAGCTAGATTTGGAAACAAAAAGTTTTGTGTAAAAGACCTAATAGGATTGGAAAGAGTCATCAAAGTTGTGGTGGATTTGGAATGAGCAGACTCGGAAATGCAACCCAGCCTTCCCGGCGACCTTGAGCAGGCCCTTGCTCAAGGTCAGTTTCCTATTTTGAAAAACGCACCAGGCTGTGTTAGGAAGATAGCATCACCAGGGCGCCTGGCCCAGAAAAGGCACTCTGTAAGTGGCAGGTGAATCCTGTCCAATCCAGGCCAATTGTAAGGGCACCAGCCAGCTTTGTGGAGGCGCATTCCCAGCTCCTGGAGGGCTACCGTTCTAGCAATAAAAATGTCCTGGAAAAGCACCCTAACTCTTAAAAAAAAGAAAAACAACCGAGAACATTTAAGCGGCGATGGCTGGCCCTGGCAGGAGCCGCCTCTCTGGAGGCTCCATCCTGCACAGAGGGACCCGGAGCCTGGATGCCGCGGGAGAGGAGGACCCGGAAGCCCGGCCCGGCTGGGCGCGGGGCGGGCGCGGTGTCCCAGCAACCGCGGAACGCGTCTTAGCGATGGAAGCGCCCGGCGGCGGCGGCGGCGGCGGCGGCGGCGACCTCCTTCTCGCTCTCGCCGCTGGGCTTTCGGCTCCTCCGCCAGGCACCTGGCAGTTCGGTGCGTTGATCCGGGCACAGCCTGGGGCCTCCCTTGGGCAGGGGCTGGGCAGCCGCGGAGGTGCGAACGACCTGTGGGGGGAGGCCAGCCCTGACCTTGGCCTCTCTAGGGCGCGTGGGGTGCCGCGGTTTGTTGCGACTGGCTCCTTTCTCACAGGGCGCTTTTTTTTGTGTGTGTCTCGGTTGCTTCTAATGTTTCCCATCACCTCGTGCTTAGAGGATTCCATGTTCCCAAGGGGGCCGCACGCGGAGTCGCCACCTCCACAGCACGTCGAGAGCTATCTGCAGCACAGAGCTGGAGAAGGTTCCAGAGAAAGGGATGCCGGCATGGCCCAGGACCAGAGGAGTTACAGTTGAGTTCTTGGAGAGGCTGAGGGCTGGGTGTGCATCCGGCGGTCGTGGTATCCCAGGGCCCAGGGGCGTGGTGGGAAGCTTTCGGGCAGGCCAGTTTGGGGCACACGGAAAGGACTGTCTGGGGAGTGATTGACGTCTCCCTTACCCGGCCGGGACCTCGCTCGGAACAGCGCGGGAAGTCTGTTACGGACCAGGCAGGGAGCAGAGGCTGCCCTGTCCAGTGCTTGGTGCACGCCGGTGAGGCTGGGATTTGGCGTGAGGCTGGGATTTGGCGTGAGGCTGCGTTTCCACAGGCCCCTACCCTTTCTGTTTTTCCTCTGCTCGGACCTTAGCAGATTTGTGGCACTGTTTGTTGGATGGGCAGCTTGGGTGGAGATCAGGAACACTAAGGAAAGGCTGAAGTTGAGTACCGGCTGGTAGCTCTAAAACGGATGCTTTTTTAAAAAAATTGTTTTTAATTAATTTGGGAGGCAGAGGGCGTTCCAATCCACTGGTTCACTTCCCAAATACCTGCTGCAGTAGCTGGGACTGGGCAGGGGTTAGTGCTGGGAGCTGGGAACTCAACCCAGGTCTCCCATGTGGGTGTCGGGGACCAACCATGTGAGCCATCACGGCTGCCAGCCAGGGTGTGCAGCAGCAGGAAGCTGGGGTGAACAGCCAGGCATTAAACCCAAGGACGCTGATTTGGGTCCCCGGCTTCTTACCTGCTAGGTCCAGTGCTCCCCCGAAGTAATAGCTGGCTCCTCTGGCAGAGGAGGTGTCTGGGAGCACTTGGAGCAGAACAGTCTCCCAGAATGCCTTGGGCTGAGCATGTGCTCTGGGTGTGGCTTTCCTGTTCCAGCGTGCTGTGTGCTGCAGGAGGGGGCTGTAGAATGGGCCATCTTTGTCCCAAAGGACCTTAGCTTGCTCCCTGGTCTTCTATAACCCAGGGAGGCGGCCTTCGTCCTCACAGGGCGGAGAGGAGAGGCAGGTACAGTCATCGACACCCCGGGGCCAGGAGAGCTGCAGGAGGAAGAACCAGTAAGAGCTCCACATGGCTGAGAGGGCGAGGAGAACAGGGTTCCGGGATTCTAACTTCAGACTCCAGACTTTCTGCTGTTCCTACTCTGGTTTGGGGTCAAGAACGAAGCTGCTATTTATAGGGTAGACCAGGTAAGCTCCATGTTCCTGAGTTAGTGGTGCCAGCAGAGCGGGAGGCCCTGGGATTCACCAGATCGCATTAACCGAAGACTTCTGGTTTCCTTTTCTTTTGAAAGATATATTGATTTGAAAGGCAGAATGACAGAAAGAGCGATTTTCCATCTACTAGTTCACTCCCCAATGGCTGCAGCAGCTAGTGCTGGGCCAGGAGGAAGCCAGGAGCCCCATCCAGGTTTCCCAGGCTCATGCATATGGGCCATCATTCTCTGTTTCCCAGGTGCATTAGCAGGGAGCTAGATGGGAAATGGAACAGTCAGAATTGGAACCCATGATCTGACGTGGGATGCTGGCTTCTCAAGTCGGGGAGCTTAGCCCAGTGCTCCACGGCACCTGCCCCTCATTTTCTGCTCTGTTGGTGTGTCCACTCGGACCAGTTTAATATAGAGTCCCTGGGTCTTAGGAAGGAAGGGGCTGCACAAATTAGTTGACGATACATGCGTGTGTGTGTGTGTGTGTGTGTGTGTGTGTTTCTAGCAGGGAGAGCCACCCACTGCTGCTTTTTTTTTTTTTTTTTTGACAGGCAGAGTGGATAGTGAGAGAGAGAGAGAGACAGAGAGAGAAAGGTCTTCCTTTTGCCGTTGGTTCACCCTCCAATGGCTGACGCGGCTGGCGGGCTGCGGCCGGCACACTGTGCTGATCTGATGGCAGGAGCCAGGTGCTTCTCCTGGTCTCCCATGCGGGTGCAGGGCCCAAGCACTTGGGCCATTCTCCACTGCACTCCCGGGCCACAGCAGAGAGCTGTCCTGGAAGAGGGGCAACCGGGACAGAATCCGGTGCCCCGACCGGGACTAGAACCTGGTGTGCTGGCGCCGCAAGGCAGAGGATTAGCCTAGTGAGCCGCGGCGCCGGCCTCACTGCTTTTATTACTCCTCAAGGAGGGAAGCAGCTCTATAATGTGAAAAGGGCTACATACGCCAGTGCTCTAGAAACTTACGGTGCTTGTGGAGCAGATAAGCAGGGCTGGGAAACCAGGTGTTTGCTTGAAAAGGTCTCCCCAGTAAAGGAACATAACTTGATGTATTGTTCTCCCCGGTAGACTGAGCGTTTGTGAAAATCAGCCAAGATGAGAAGTGTGTGAGAGCACTGTGGTTATGTAAGGTGTTATTCCTGCCTGAAGAAATGGAAATCAGTATCTTGAATCCCACAGATGGTACCAAAGAACCAGACTTTTTCCTAAACTCTCATTCCCCCCAGATTCTTTTGTGGCCATCAGAACCTTCTCTTGAGATTTTTTTTTTTATTGCATCATTTTTTCTATTACCTAGTGTTTAGAGTCTTGTTAGTGTGTACTGGTTTATGGCTTACTTGGCATTTATCGCATTTGAGTGATGCTTTTCCTGAGGCACAGGGACCCTTTCTAGAAGGGTGCACCCCCTCAGCATCTCTGTTCCTCCTGACAGCCTTGGGAGCTGGACACAGAGTGGGGGAGCCTAGAAACCTGTGCACCCGGAGGCTTTTGACTTGCTTAGAGCAACACAATGCTCCTCTTTGTAATGGTAGCATCAGTATCAGAATGGAAGAGGCCAGGATCAGGTGTTTAGCCAGAGGTTAGGGTACCTGTCCCACAGCAAAGTGCCTCGGTTTGGGGCCTTGTGGTGCAGCAGGTGAAGCCGCCGCCTGCGAAGATGCTGACATCCCATATGGGCGCCGGTTCAAGTCCCGGCTGCTCCACTTCTTATCCAGCTCCCTGCTAATGTGCCTGGGAAAGCAGTGGAAGGTGGCCCTAGCTCTTGAGCTCCTGTACCCACGCTGGAGACCTGGATAAAGCATCTGGCTGCTGGCTTTGACCCGGCCCAGCCCTGACCATTATAACCATCTGGGGAGTGAACCAATGGATGGAGGATCTCTCTCTGTCTGTAAAATAAATCCTAAAAACAGGAAACAGCAAACAAAAAATAAAGTGCCTTGGTTTTATGCCTGGCTTCAGTTCCTGACTCCAACATTAGGCTCACCCAGACTCTGAGAGGCAGCAGTGAGACAATTTAAGAAATTGGTTTGTTCCCACAAGGAAGACCCAGGTTATGTTCCTGGGTTCCAATTTCTAGCCCTGGTTTTCAAAGACATTTGGGAAGTAAATCAGTAGGAGAGAGCTAATGCTATCTGTCTGCCTGCCTCTTTTTCTTTTTAAACTTTTTTATTTATTTGAAAGACTAAGTTATATAGAGAGGTAGACAGGGGGAGAGAGCGCGCACACATGAGAGAGAGAGAGAGAGAGATCTACCACCCGCTGGTTCACTCCCCAAATGACAGCAATGGCTAGAGCTGAACTGATCTGAAGCCAGGAGCCAGGAGCTTCTTCAGGTCTCCCATGTGAATGCAGGAGCCCAAGCACTTGGGCCATCCTCCACTGCCTTCTCAGGTGCATCAACAGGGAACTGGATCGGAAGTGGAGCAACTGAGACTCAAACCAGTGCCCATATGGGATGCTAGTGCTGCAGGCTGGGGCTTTAACCCGCTATGCCACAGTGCTGGCCCCTGTCTGCCTGCCTCTTTTGAATAAATTTTAGAAAAGAGAAAAGGAAATTTGTTGTTAGACTTAAATTTTATTTATTTGAAAGGCAGAGAGAGAGAGAGAGAGAGATCTTCCATCCACTGGTTTAATCCTCAAATGCCACAACTGCTGAGATTGGGCCAAGCCAAAACCAGGAGCTGGGAACTCAATCTGGATCTCTCACGTGTGTGTCAGGGACCCAGCGACTTGAGCCATCACCTAAGTGATGCATTAGCAGGAAACTAGAATAGGAGGCAGAATCCAAGAACCATGATAGGGGATATGCATCTCCCAGGTGATATCTTAACCACTGGACCCAACACCTGCTGTACTATTTAGATTCTTTTTTTGACAGGCAGAGTTAGACAGTGAGAGAGACAGAGAGAGAGACAGAGACAGAGAGAAAGGTCTTCCTTCTGTTGGTTCACCCCCCAAATGGCTGCTATGGCTGGCGTGCTGTGCCAATCTGAAGCCAAGAGCCAGGTGCTTCCTCCTGGTCTCCCATGTGGGTATAGGGCCCAAGCACTTGGGCCATCCTCCACTGCCTTCCTGGGCCACAGCAGAGAGCTGGACTGGAAGAGGAGCGACCGGGACAGAATCCGGCGCTCCAGCCGAACTAGAACCCAGGGTGCCGGTGCCACAGGTGGAGGATTAGCCAAGTGAGCCACGGCACCGGCCAACTATTCAGACATTTGAGTGTGAATAAGGCTCAAGGATGTCTTCATCAATTTATTTTGCTTATATTTTATATATGCACACAAGTGATTAAATCAGCATGTAAGGAAGGTTACAGGAATGTTTGTAGTGAGTTTAAAATAAACATTCTACTGCTAAAGCACTTGGTCATAGTTTAGTTGGCAGTCTCTGTCCTTTGTGCTACAAAAAAATGTTCCTGACACTGATGGATTCTTTTTTATCTTTGAAGATTTGTTTATTGACTTGAAAAGCAGAATTACAAGGCCGGCGCTGCAGCTCACTAGGCTAATCCTCCGCCTGCAGCGCCGGAACTCCAGATTCTAGTCCTGGTTGGGGCGTCGGATTCTGTCCCAGTTGCTCCTCTTCCTGTCCAGCTCTCTGCTGTGGCCCAAGTGCCTGGGCCCTGCATCCCATGGGAGACCAAGAGGAAGCACCTGGCTCCTGGCTTCGGATTGGCGCAGCACGCCGGCCATAGCAGCCATTTGGAGGGTGAACCAACAGAAGGAAGACCTTTCTCTCTGTCTCTCTCTCTCACTGTCTAACTCTGCCTGTCAAAAAATAAATAAAAATAAAGGCAGAATTACACAGAGAGAGATAGAGAGAGAGAAGGAGAGATTGGTCCACCAGTTCATTCTTCAAATGGCTGCAACTGCCAGGACTGGGCCAGATCGAAGCCAGGAGCACACAGCTTCTCCTGTATCTCCCACATGAGTGTGGGAGTGGGGGGGCCCAACCACTTGGACCATCTTCCTCTACTTTTCCAGATGCATTAACAGGGAGCCAGATCGGAAGTGGAGCATGCGGGACTCACACCAGCACCCATATGGGATGCTGGCCTCTCAGGCAGAGGCTGAACCTGCTGTGCCGCAGTGCTGGCCCCCAGTGGTGTCTTACGTTCAGTGGAATAGAGTATATGCACTTAGGGCTCCAGGTCTCTAATTACTGCTTTAGCCGAGTCCCGCAGGTTTGATGTATAGTTCATTGGTTAGTAAGCACCTCAAGATTTCCATTGTGATTTCTTCTTTTACCTGAATTATTTAGTGGTTTGACTTCCCACGCTTGTGGATGGGTTTTGGCTGTCGTTTGATGGTCTTGCGCTGTGATCTGAGTCACGCTTGTGGGTACTTGTTTTGTGGCTGAGTATTTGGGTGGCCGCTCCTTCGGCTGCTGGGGACCCATCCTCTCCTCCTCACAGCTCTGCTGCCCTCATGCCCTCTGCTGGCCTTGGCTCCGTCCCAGCTACTCACGCCGCAAGGCCCTGTCTGTGCCTGGGGCTGCTGCACGTCCAGGGAATATTCCAGAGCGGCACTTCTCACACGCGGCTCGCCCCAAGGGCCACCTGAGCTTTTTCCTAAACACACTGATCTCCAGACGGCCGATCTGCCCAGAGCCCTAGAGTGCGTGTGTTAGGTGAGTGCACCAAGGGGATTCCGATGGCAACTTTGGGAAATTCGGCGCGGCTTCGGCACGTGGGATTGGTTAGAACGCAGGACAGTGGTGGAGTTGGACGTGAAGAAGAGGAAAAGCACAGCCAAGGCCACGAGCTGCTGGGGGAGGGGACATTTCTAAGAGGCAGGTTCCTAGGCCTCTCTAGGAAGGGTTCTAATTCCATTGGTCTGTGATGGAGCCCAGGCATCTGCATTTGTAACTGACCTCCTAAGCATTGCCAATGCAGCCAGTTCTAATGCCATACTCAGGCAGTAGAGAAAGAAGTAGCTCGTTTTCATTTTTTCTCTTTGTAAGATTTATTTATTTATTTGAAAGAGTTACACAGAGAGGATTGGCAGAGAGGTGGGGGGGGGTCTTCCATCCTTCCATCCTCTGGTTCACTCTTCAATTGGCCAGAGCTGCGCCGATCCAAAGCCAGGAGCCAGGAGCTTCCTCCAGGTCTCCCACGTGGGTGCAGGGGCCGAAGGACTTAGGCCATCTTCTACTGCTTTTCCAGGCCACAGCAGAGAGCTGGATTGGAAGAAGAGAAGCTGGGACTCGAACTGGTGCCCGTATGGGATGCTGGCGCTTCAGGTGGTGGCTTTACCCATTACGCCACAGCGCCAGCCCCCTTAGCTGTTTTTTTTTTTTTTTTTTTGATAGGCAGAGTGGACAGTGAGAGAGAGAGACAGAGAGAAAGGTCTTCCTTTGCCGTTGGTTCACCCTCCAATGGCCGCCGCGGCTGGCGCGCTGCGGCCGGCGCACCGCGCTGATCTGATGGCAGGAGCCAGGAGCCAGGTGCTTTTCCTGGTCTCCCATGGGGTGCAGGGCCCAAGCACCTGGGCCATCCTCCACTGCACTCCCTGGCCACAGCAGAGGGCTGGCCTGGAAGAGGGGCAACCGGGACAGAGTCCGGCGCCCCGACTGGGACTAGAACCCGGTGTGCCGGCGCCGCTAGGCGGAGGATTAGCCTAGTGAGCCGCGGCGCCGTGGTTTTTAAACTGTCTAGAATCACAGGGGAGATCCTCTTAAGAATGAAGGGTTGTGGATGGTGATGGAACATGAGAAGAGTGGAAAAGAGAGGATTCACCTGATACTCAACTCATGGAGGAAATGAATGGAAAGATGACCCGCATGGCAGTCCTGCTGGTGGAGCATGGGAATTTGCCAAGGTTTGTAAAATACATGGTTTATATCGTATGCTCAGGAAGCCTGGTACTGCGCAGGTGGAATTTCGGTCAGTCTAAAAGTACACTCAAGCGTCAGGGAACTCTGACTGACTTCTTATCATTTTCTTGTAACCGTTGGGTTAACATTGTGCGTATGGAGCTTCCGTGATCTACGAAGTTATGCCTGAAGAAACCCAATATCCTTTTGTGATTGGCAAAGGCACACAGCTATGTAACGTTATGAGAGAACAGACTGACTCACGGAGTGGTGACTGAATAGAAGAGTGGGTGCGGATGGTGGTTCCGTCTCTCCATCTGACCGTCTCTGGCTTTGGGGACTCCCTTACTTGTGGCTGTGGTTGGGGAGTTACACTTCTTTATCAGTTCATTCGCTCAAACGCTTATTGAGCATCTACTTTGTGCCAGGCGCTGTCCTGGATGCTACTGAGATGAGTAAGACACAGTCTGGTGGGGAAGCGTGTTCATCAATGAACAATGACGCTGCAGTGGGAGGGGGCCCTGGGGCATTTCTGATCTCCTGCTGTATTGGGAGTCGTTCTGCGAATGAATCCCTGGGCAGATTGCACTGGCAAGCTTGGTTTGATGTGCAACGTTATTGAACTTGATTCAGATCTCTCTTCCGCTTTGGTCAGAGCGGGTGAGCTGTGTGTAGGGGTAAACAGTCTAGCACAGTGCTTGGGAGTTTTGGACTTTGTTCTGTGAACTGTGATCGAATCTAGGCCTAAAAGTTTATTTGCTGTGTGATCATAGGCAAGCTGCTTACCTCTCTGACCTCTGTTTCCTTAGCTGTGAAATAGAGGAGGTAATACTTATAAATTGTCACTGGGGTTAAATTGGGTAATGTGTGTGAGGTGTTAACATTAATCTCCAGTACACGGTAAGTGCTTGCAGATTTTTTTTTTAAAGATTTATTTATTTGAAAGGCAGCATTACAGAGAGAAAGAGAGAAATCTTCCATCTGCTGGTTCATTCCCCATGTGGCAGAGGGCTGGGCCAGGCGGAAGCCAGGAGGCTCATCCAGGTCTCCCACATGGATGGCAGGGGCCCAAGTACTGGGGCCATCTTCCACTGCTTTTCCCAGGCTGTTATTGGCAGGGAGCTGGATTGGAAGTGGGACATCTGGGACACAAAGCAGTGCCCGTGTGGGATGCCACCGTCTCAGGCGGTGGCTTTACCTGCTGTGCCACAGGGCTGGCCCAGATATTTCCAACAATGCAAGTAAATGGCGCTATTTGTGTGTTGCAGGTGCTAACCATGGTGATTTCCTGGAGTCCAAGGCTGGCTGTGCCAGTACAGCCCTCTCTGTCCGGAGGGCCAACTCCTCATCTTCTGTTGGAACAGGTGCAGGTGTCAGCATCCACAGAGTGTGTGCTCAGCTAGAGTAAGTAAGAGGCTGGTGAAGAGCTGTCACTGTGGGGGAAGTTCTGTCCGAGAAGCCAGTAGTCTGACGGGGGCATGAGCCGCTTGGCAAGAGCATGGATTCTGGAACTAGACTGTCAGGTTCGAATCCCAGCTCTGCCACATGGTATGTGCATGAACTTGGGCAAATTACTTCACCTCCTGGCCCTCAGTTTTCCTCTCCATAAAATGGGCATAAAATTTCATAGGATTGTTGTAAGTATTGCATGAGTTGATAGATGTAAGGTGACTGAAAGACTCCCAGCATATGATAAGTGCTTAGTACTTACACAAAGTGCTTCTGTTAGGAAGTTCAAAAGTGAGTGAAGCTAAACTGTAAATATTTTGAATACATAGGCACATATGTAGGTGTAAAACTTAAATAAAAGCAAGGGAATGAACAATTATTCTGAGAGTTGCAGTCAGGATGGCGGCCACCTCTCGGCACAGGGACACACAGGGTTGGGGGGGCGGTCAGTGCTTTGTTTGTTGACCTGGACATTGGCTTTGCCATTATTTGTAAAACTTTATTTACATAGTTTTCTTTTTTAAAAAACATTTATTTATTTTATTTGAAAGTCAGAGTTACACAGAGAGAAGGAGAGGTAGAGAAAGAGAGAGAGAGAGAGAGAGAGAGAGAGGTCTTCCATCTACTGGTTCACTACCCAGTTGGCTACAACAGCCAAAGCTACACTGATCTGAAGCCAGAATCCAAGCCCCTCTTCTGGGTCTCCCACACAGGTGCAGGGGCCCCAGGACTTGGGCGATTTTCCATTGCTTTCCCAGGCCATAGCAGAGAGATGGATCAGAAGTGGAACAGCTGGGACATGAACCAGCGTCCATATGAGATGCTGGCACTGGAGGTGGCAGCTCTACCCACTAGGCCACAGTGCCGGTCCCTATATAGTTTTTTGTTTATGTTTCTTCTAAAGTAAAAAGTTCAGAAAAATCTTTTCTCACACTTGCTTGTTATAATAAAAGTAATTTCCGTTTATTATAGAAAAGTTACAAATATAAAAATAGTATTAAAACCACCCACACTAATTTCACATCTTAGAGAATAAATTTGGTATTTGTTTTTTCCTTATCCATAGATACATAAATTTATTTTAAACGTTAAGAGCATATTATACTACTGTTTCATAAAATCTGCTTTCTAAAAAGATGTGTGAAGGATTTTACTCTTTCAAAGCAGTTTTAGGTTCACAGCAAGAGTAAAGAGGAAGGCTCAGCGAGTTTCCGTATACCTCACTGTCCCCTTGCGTGCATAGCCACGGCCGATATCAATGTCCCCAGAGAGAGATGCACTTGTTCCAGCTGGTGAAGCTCACTGCCACAGCCGTCCGCAGCGTCCGTGGGGTTCACTCTCGGCGCTGTGCCTTCTGTGCACTTGGATGAACGCGCAGCGACATGTGTCCCTCACTGCAGTTTCGCTCAGAGAGCCTCACGGCTCGGCACACCTGCCATGCCCTGCTGCTTCACTCCCCGCTCCTGCATCCCGAAACCCCCGCCCTTGCAACCAATGACGTTTTTATTCCTTAAAGTGTCTTTCTTTTCCCTGATCTTTTATTTTATTTTTAAAAAAGATTTTATTTATTTATTTGAGAGGTAGAGTTACAGACAGTGAGAGGGAGAGACAGAGAGAAAGGTCTTCCGACCATTAGTTCATTCCCCAAATGGCCACAGCTGTGCTAATCCCAAGCCAGGAGCCAGGAGATTCTTCTCAGTCTCCTGCATGGGTGCAGGGGCTCAAGGACTTGGGCCATCTTCTACTGCTTTCCCAGGCCATAGCAGAGAGCAAGATTGGAAGAGGAGCAGCTGGGTCTCGAACGACACCCATATGGGATGCCGGCACCGCAGGCGGAGGATTAATCCACTGTGCGACAGCTCCGGCCCCTCCCCTGATCTTTTTTTTTTTTTTTTTTTTTTTTTGACAGGCAGAGTGGACAGTGAGAGAGAGAGACAGAGAGAAAGGTCTTCCTTTGCCGTTGGTTCACCCTCCAATGGCCGCCGCGGCCGGCGCAACTGCGGCCGGCGCACCACGCTGATCCGATGGCAGGAGCCAGGAGCCAGGTGCTTTTCCTGGTCTCCCATGGGGTGCAGGGCCCAAGCACCTGGGCCATCCTCCACTGCACTCCCGGGCCACAGCAGAGAGCTGGCCTGGAAGAGGGGCAACCGGGACAGAATCCGGCGCCCCGACCGGGACTAGAACCCGGTGTGCCGGCACCGCTAGGCGGAGGATTAGCCTAGTGAGCCGCGGCGCTGGCCTCCCCTGATCTTTTAAATGTCTCCATGTTTCCTCCTTCTCCAGAATGCTGTATGATTGGACTCACAGAGCATATAGCCTTTTTCAGATCGGTGTCTTTCGCTTAGTAGATGCATTGAAGGCTCCGCTGTGTCTGTTCCCGGCTTGTCAGCACATCCTTTTCAAGTGTTAAATAGTATTCCCTTGTCTGGGTGTACCAAGGCTTAATCATTCATTCACCTGCTGAAGGACATCTTGCAAAGCCTGCATTTCCACTGAACAACACACAGAGAGAACTTTCTCATATCCTGGAGTGTTTTTCAAGAGCACGTTTTTTGCAAATTACTTGCTGGAGATGAATAGGCAGCAGTCCAGCCCGCACCCTATGGACTCAGAGTCTGCTCTTACAATCGATGATCTGATGAGCGAACCTGTACGCGTCTTTTGCCCGTCTCTGGTTTTATCATGAACATAAGTTCCTAGAAGTGGAATCAGTGTGTCAAAGGGAGGAGAAGTCACTCAAGTGATTCTTTCTGTAATAAAATCCACTCCAAGTGGACTTGTCGGCCCCTCCCACTAGATATGAAACAGGCGGGCATACATTTCACTATCTGCCACTTCGGTTCCTCTGCAATGGGTAGAATTTGCCACGGCAGCAGTGGGTCCCTGTGCTGGGAGGGGGAGAAAGCTCGGATGGTAGGCTTATGTGCTGTGGAATGGGGGGCTGGGGGACCAGCGCTGATTCCACATCCATAACTCCCCCATAAATAACTCTTTTTCATCTGTCGTGAGGCCTGGGATAAAGAGGACTTCATTTAAAGTATGTACCCCCAGGTCTGAAACGCCAGGCTGGACATAGTCCCAAGCCTCAGACTGATATATTCAACCGCATCTGGATGTCCCAACAGGCTCCTCCAACTCCCCACGCCTTGACTGAATGGATCACCCCTCCCCCAAACCAGATTCTCCTCCTGGGTCCCCTGTCTCAATCGATAGTCTCTGTTTGTGCAGTTGCAAGGGACAGAGAGACCCAGGGGTCAGCTCAGCTCCGTGCATCCTTCCACTGGCATCAAGTCCTGAAGTGTGAGTCCATCTCTCTACTCCATCTGTATTGCCACCGACTCACTGCTGGTCCTGCCAAGCTCTTGTCTGGACCAGCACAAGACCTTCTGCATTAGTTACCTGTTGATGTAACACATCACCCAAAATTTAGTCTGAAAAAAGGAACATTGATTGCATCTTCTGTGGGTCAGGAGGTGGGATATGACTTAGTTGTATGCCCCTGGCTCAAGGTGTCTCTCACAGGATTGTCCTCAAGGTGTTGGCCAGGGCTCACCTGAAGGCTCCACTCGGGCAAGGATCACTTCGCGGCTCACTCACACAGTTGGTGGCAACAGCTAGTTCCTTGCAGGCTGTTGGGACTGAAGCCTTCAGTTCCTCGCTGGAGGTTGTCCAGAAGCTTCTTTAATTCTTTGCCTCTCGAAAAGGCAACGCCCACCATGGTAGCAGGTGAGCCAGAGTGTACGCAGGACAAAGCTAGTGTACCCAGTCTACGGAGTGAAAGCCCCTTGTCACTTCTGCTGGGTTCTGTCTGTTAGAAGTGAGGCAGGAGATCTGGCCTGTACTCAAAGGGAGGAGATTTCAAACAGGAGTAAATACTGAGAGGTAAGATCGTTGGCAGGGAAGGATTGCCTACCGCACACTCCTAAATAGACACCCTACCTTATGTCATTGATATTATATTATATATATTATATTTTATTTATGTATTTGAGAGGCAATGTTACAGAGAGGGAAGGAGAGACAGAGATCTTCCATCTACTGGTTCACTCCCTAAATGTCTGCAATGGCTGGAGTTAGGCCTGGCAGAAGCCAGGAGCCAGGAGCTTCTTCTGGGTCTCCCATGTGGGTGCAGGGGTCCAAGCACTTGGGCCATCTTCCACTGCCCTCCCAGGCACATTGACAGGGAGCTGGATTGGAAGTGGAGCAGTCGAAGCTCCAATCGGCACCCATATGGGATTCTGGCACCAATCCCTATGTTATACTCTTTTTTTAAAAAAGATTTATTTTATTTATTTGAAAGTCAGAGTTACAGAGAGGCAGAGGCAGAGGCAGAGAAAGAGAGAGAGAGGTCTTCCATCCACTGGTTCACTCCCCAGATGGCTTCAATGGCCAAGCTGTGCCAATCCAAAGCCAGGAGCCAGGAGCTTCCTCCAGGTCTCCCACAAAGCTGCAGGGGCCCAAGGACTTGGGCCGTCTTCTACTGATTTCCCAGCCATAGAAGAGAGCTGGATGGGAAGTGGAGCAGCCAGGACTAGAACCAGTGCCCATATGGGTTGCTGGCACTTCGGGCAGTGGCTTTACCTGCTATACCACAACGCCAGCCCCCCTATGTTATACTCTTAAAGTCCATTTCTCGTGCAGTTTCCAGAGTTTATGAAGACAGAAACCTGCCCAAATGTGAGCATGCCATGTCCTTGCCTACCATTAATAAGTGATACCCAATTAAAATGTGATAAAGGAGCATCTGTTCCCCCACCCCCCACCCCCAGACTGCAAATCCTCGATCTTCCATCTCTTGTCCAGCCTCATGTCCAGCACTGCCACCCCCGCATGGACTTTCTTCATTGCCTGCCGTTTCTCCCCTCCTTTGTTGTCCCCGAGGCCTTTTGCTGTGTCTACAGATCCTTCCCGGTGGCTTTGCCCATGCCACCCTCTGTTTTCAAGGAGCTATTCTGCTGTCCCTCTCTGCCCAGTCTTAACGAGGGTTTCCCAGTGGGACCTGCCATCTTATGTGACTTGTTTCTCGTCGGATGGATTTAAGCGGACACATGGCCCAAGCTGGTGTGGCAAGAGCCCTTCCCTGAGCTTTTTCACGCTGGAGGTGGGGCCGGAGCTTGGCTGGAGGGCCGTGAGAATCTGCATCTGAGGTTGGCAGACCCCTTCCTGCCTACGTGGAGACACTGGTCTGTAGCTGGCAAAAGCGATGCCAAGATTTCAAGACAAGCAGACACCAGTGTGGGCAAGCGACAGTTATGGAGATGCTGAGCTCCAGGTCCAGCTGTCTCCAACTATACCTTTGTCACGGAAACTGGTTCCTCCCCATCATTCCTTAAACTTCCATGGTTTGAGCTGGGTTTCTGTCACTTCGGGCCCAGAATATTGACTGCCCCATGTAGTGAATTCATACCCGCTTTTGAGACGCAGTTCAGGTATGCATCTATAAAATCTTTCCAAGCATCTGCTCCGCTGCTGCCAGCCTACCTGGGTTAGATATGCTTTCTGGATGCTCCTTTAATTCCCCAGAAGGGTCTCTCGCTGCATTTGCCCGCTCTCCCACACTCATCTGTGTTCGTATCCACACCCTCTTCCCCTAGACCTGAACTCCTTTGAGAGCAGGAACTGTGTGGAGTCATCTTTGGATTCCCGAACATCTAGAATAGTGCCAGCCACAAAATGAACATGTGAGTTCAGTAAACAAAGTAGGTCGATACTTCGAAAGTTCTTTTGGAAAGTTTTCTGTATCCTTGCAGTGTTTTCTACACAGTTTGTTCAACAAAACCTTTTGTCCTCGTGTTTAGGTGAGATGACTTTCACCCCAATGTCAGGACTGTCTTATAAGCTGAGTTGGCAGTTGGGGGGAGCACGAAGTTTCCGAGCTCGGCTTCTCCATGACTTTTAGGTCATACAGTCTTGAGTTAGGAGATCTCGGCCTCCGATCCAGCTCTGACCATGTCTAGGTTTGTTTTTTATCCAAAGAAGTTAATTATGACAGTCCATTTTCTTTTTTTAATTAAAAAATTTAAAATTTATTTATTTTCATTTTATTTGAAAGGCAGAGAGACGAAGAGAAAGAAAGAGATAGAGATCTTCCATCTGCTGCTTCATTGCTCAGATGCCTACAACAGCCTGGGCTGGGCCGGGCCAAGGCCAGGAGCCTGGAATTCAATCTGGGTTCTCCCATGTGGGTGACAGGGCCCTAAGTCCCTGAACCTTCACATCCTGCCTCCCAGGGTGTGCATAAGCAGGAAGCTAGAATCTGAAGCAGCATACAGACTTGACCCCAGGCATTCTGATATGGATGTGGGCGTCCTAAGTGATGTCTTTGCTACTGTGGCAAACGCCCATGCCAGCCCATTGCCTTCTTAAATGGGAATGATTGCATCAGTCCCACCCACACTGCTGGACTATGAGTAGGGGGCAGACTGGACAAGCAACGAGGAGTTGCTTTAAAACTATTCAAGGATGAACAGTGATGCAACAGGATGAAAACAAAAGAAGATCCAAAGACTAGCTTTCTCCTTTCCTCCGCCATCGTGGTGGGTGTCCCTGATTCTTCCTCGCCATGTCTTCTCACAAGACCTTCAGAATCAAGAGGTTCCTGGCCAAAAAACAAAAACAAAACCGCCCCTTTCCGCAGTGGATTCGGATGAAAACTGGTAATAAAATCAGGTATAACTCCAAGAGGAGACATTGGAGAAGAACCAAACTGGGTCTATAAGGAATTGCACTTGAATGGTGTGCTCATTTCTTCTGTCTCAATGTCACAATGTCACTATCACCACATCAAGTTGAAGATGTCACCATCATCTGGACAGCTGGACATGTTTGATTAGGACTGTGACCAGTGGGCTGGTTCAGTACTAAATATGTGAGCCCTTTTGGTAACAACACTCTCTGTCACATTGCAGATCCAAAGACTAGATAGAAGAGAAGTCCACTTGGAAGCTTTGTCTCTCTGTGGCTAAGCCACTTAGACCAGAAGTGAATGCTTCTTCTGCCGACACTACGGCAGTTTGTGGTGGGCCTTTTCCAGCTGCCAGCAAGTTCAGTGCTAAATATAATGCTCCATTACTGCCATCATTTCAGTTTAGGTTTGCTTTTGATTGTTTCTTCCTCTGCTCCGTGTATGTAATGGTTTTTTTTAAAGTTGCATTTAATGGTTTTATTGAACATGTATCAGTTTTGGTAACAGACTTATTTTTTTATAAGATTTATTTATTTATTTGAAAGTCAGAGTTACACAGAGAGGAGAGGCAGAGAGAGAGTCTTCCATCCAATGATTCACTCCCCAATTGGCTGCAATGGCTGGAGCTGTGCTGATCCAAAGCCAGGAGCCAGGAGTTTCTTCCGGGTCTCCCACACAGGTCCAGGGGCCCAAGCACTTGGGCCATCTTCTACCGCTTTCCCAGGCCATAGCAGAGAGCTGGATCAGAAGAGGAGCAGCCAGGACTAGAACCGGCGCCCATTTGAGATGCTGGCACTTCAGGCCAGGGCGTTAACCCGCTGTGCCACAGTGCCAGACCCGGTAACAGACTTATTGAAACATAATTCATATACTGTATAAATTAGAGTGCTCCAGAGAGAGCTGATAAGATGCATATAAATGGGATATGTATGATAGAGGATTTGTGTGCTAGGGGAGTTGGCTCCCCGAGTCCTGGGGGCTGAGAAGTCCCATGACAGACTGCCTGTCAGCTGGAGACCCTGGGGTGCTGCCAGTTTGGTGCCAGCCAAGACCCAAGGTCTCAGCGGCACTGAGTGGTGGTGGTGGCACTCTGAGTCCCAGGCCAAAGTCCTGGGAACGTGGGGTGGGGTGGGAGGGGACGGGGGCACAAAGGCCAGGAGAGCCTGGGGTTCTGGTGTCCAAGGGACAGAGGAAAAATGTGTCCAGTTCCAGTTCGGTTCTGGCCCCAGCCAATGGGATGGTGCCTGCCCAGGCTGAGGGAGGATCCGCCCCACTTTGTCCACCAACTCTCATTCCAGTCTCCTCTGGAAACACCCTCCCTGACACGCCGAAAAGCCCCTTAATCCAGTCAAGCTGACACCCCAAATCACCTGTCACACCGTGCAATTCACCCATGTCAAGTGTATAACTCAATAGTTTGTAGTAGGTTCACAGAGTCGTGCAGCTCTTTGTGCAACCAATTTCAGAACACTCTCACCACCTGTTAGCATTCTGCCACACTGTCTGCCTCACCCCCAGCCCTAGACAATGGTCACTCCACTTTCTGTCTCTGCAGAGTTACATTTCACATAAATAGAATATTAGCATGTGGTCTTTGGTGTCTGGCTTCTTTCACTTATCATAATGCATTCAAGGTTCTTCCGTGTTGTAACATATATCATCATATAACATTCCCTCCTAAACAATATGTGAAGTAGCATCTGCCATTTCATGTGTTATTAAGTATACAATTAAGTACCATTAATTCCACATAGAATATTTTTTAAAGATTTATTTATTTTTATTTTTAATTGAAAGCCAGAGTTACACAGAGAGATAAGGAGAGGTGTTGTGAGGGAGGTCTTCCATCCACTGATTCACTCCCCAGTTGGCTGCAATGGCCGGAGCTGTGCCGATCTGAAGCCAGGAGCCAGAAGTCAGGAGCCAGGAGCTTCCTTTAGGTCTCCCACATGGGTGCAGGGGCCCAAGCACTTGGGCCATCTTCTACTGCTTTCCCAGGCCATAGCAGAGAGCTGGATCAGAAGTGGAGCAGCTGGGACTCAAACCACCACCCACATGGGATGCCAGCGCTGCAGGTGGCGGCTTTACCCGCTATGCCACAGCGCTGACCCCCACATATAATCTTGTGCAACTGTGGCTGCTATCTGTTTTGAAACATTTTCACACTCCAAACAGAAACTCTGTACCCATTAGGCAATAACTCATCCTTCTTCCCTCTTCCCAGTTCCCATAAGTTCTACTTTGCTCCCTGTCGGTATGAATTTACCTGTTCTAGATATGTCACATAAGTGCAATCACACAACATCTGTCCTGTGGCTGGCTTCTTTCCTCCATGCAGTAGCATTGTCAGAACTTCATTCCTTTTGATGGCTGGATATTCTTCCATTGTATGTATAGACCACACTTTGTTTCTTCATGCATCTGCTGGTAGACACTTGAGCTGTTTCCACTTTGGGGCTATTATGAATAATGCTGCTATGAACATTCACGCGCAAGTCTCTGTTTGAGTCTCTGTTTTCAATTCTCTGGAGATATACAGGGGAATGGAAGTGCTAGGTCATGAGCTTTGTTGAGCTTTTTGAGGAACTACCTCATTCTTCTTCAGCATGCATCTTTTAAGTGTATTTCAGTCCCCTCAAGTGTGAACAAAGAAACAGTACACTCATGGACTTTTAAAAACAGATTTACTTATTTATTTGAAAGGAAGAGTTAGAGAGAGAGAGGAGGAGACAGAGAGGGAGCGAGCACTTCTATCCATTGGTTCATTCTCCAAATGGCCACAATGGCCAGAGCTGGGCCAAGCCAAAGCCAGAAGCCAGGAGCTTCTTTTGGGTCACCCACATCGGTGGCAGGGTCCCAGGTACTTGAGTCATCTTTTGCTGTTTTCCCCAGGCCGTTAGCAAGGAACTGGATCGGAAGTGGAGCAACTGGGACTTGAACCAGCACCTGTATAGGATGCTGGCATCGCAGGTGGCAGCTTTCCCTGCTGCACCATGACACTGACCCCACTTGTTAGAGAGGAGCAGGCGCAGTTCTCGGAGAAGAGGGTGATTCTAGGGTGAGATCTGTAAGGCCAGGCTCTAGCTGCTTGCTTACTCACATGGAGACAACGACCCTCTGCTTTCTTTCCAGCATTGTGGCAAATTTGGATCAGACATCCTCCTCCTCGCATTCGGATCACTCTGAAATGTCTCCGACTGAGGGCCAAAAGGAGAACCATCCCGAGGAGTTCAGCCTGCTCAAGTTGCAGACAAGTGAGTAACCCGGAGCCCCTGCTCACGGGCCTCTGCCCAGGGCCTTCCCAGAAGTCTGCCACACTGCTGGCCACAGTCTTAAAGTCCCACAAGTGCCAGGCACGGGACATGTTTCCTTTCTAATTCTTGCAGCAGCTCTGCTGGGAGCAATGGTTAGGCATTTCTCCAAAAGGAGGTGCCTTTATGTAAACCTCATAGGGGCATTGAACAAAACACAGTCACACATCTATCAACAATGAGAGTGTGCTCCAAGAAATGTGGCCGTAAGCAATCTCATTGTCACCATCACAGAGTGTGCTTATATCAGCTAAGACGGCAACAGCATCACTAATCTTATGGGGCCACTGTCGTGTATGTGGTCCCTTGTTGACTGGAATATTGTGATGGGGTATGTGACCGCACGAGTGTGAAAATCACATGGGCATCTACAGAGAGTGTAAAAACCCTGTCTCCAATAGTCCCCAGTATCCTTCACTCTGCCCAGGAGTGTGAAGAGTTGATACACATTTTCCCAGAATTTTGAAATGCACTTGTGTGTTTTCAGAAATACATATGTAGTCATACATTTGGCCAGTTGATGGGCCACATAGGTGATTATAATGCAGGGGAGGGGAACCTTTTTTATGGCAAGTGCCATTTGGATATTTATTTTTTTAAAGAATTATTTTATTTATTTGAAAGACAGAGTTACGGAGAGAAGTAGAGCCAGAGAGAGAGAGAGGTCTTCCATTCCACTGGTTCACGCCCCAAATGGCCACAATGGCCAGAGCTGAGCTGATCTGAAGCCAGGAGCCAGGAGCTTCCCAGGTTCCATCAGAAGTATATAATGATTGGGGTTGGTGCGGTGGCATAGCGGGTAAAGAGAGATCCAGAGAGCTGGATCAGAAGAGGAGCAGATGGGACTTGAACCGGTGCCCATATGGGATGCCAATGCTGCAGGCTGGGGCTTCAACCCACTGCACCACAGTGCCGGCCCCGCCATTTGGATATTTATAGTATTATTCATGGGCTATATACAATCATCAACTCAAAAATTAGCCTGCTACAGACTCGTTGAATTTCCAGTTCCATCTGCGGTTGATTTGGCAGAGCCAGACCCCATGATTGAGCCTTATATGGCCGGTGGGCCAGATGTTCCTCCCCCCTGATGGAGCTGCAAAAGTCCTACTGCCAAGTGAGCTGGGAGCCATTGTGACGCAGGGCAGTGCATGTTACTTGTGAATTTGTGTGATGGTGCACTGCTGGCCATGTCAAAGTACAGCACACATGACCTTGCACTGTAATGGGTACTTGATAATAAAGACTGTGTTGCTAGTTTGTGCTTTTATTATACCATTTATACTGCTTTTTTTTTTTAAAAAAAGTATTTATTTGAAAGCGCAGTTAGAGAGAGAGAGAGACAGAGAGAGAGATCGTTCATCCAAATGGCCATAACAGCTAGGGCTGGGCCAGGCCAAAGCCACGAATCTGAAATTCCATCCAGGTCTCCCACATGGATGCAGGGTGCCAAGCACTTATACATCTTTTGTTGCTTTCCCAGGTGCATTAGCAGGGAGCTAGTTCAGAAGTGGAGTAGCTGGGACTTGGACCAGCGCCCATATGGAATGCTGGCGTCACAGGCAGTGGCCCAACCCACTATGCCACCATGTCAGTCCCTTTCTTCATTGTTTAGAGCATATTCCTACTTAAACGAAAAGACAGTTTATTGTAAAACAGTCTGCCACGTTACACCGGCAGCAGCCTCAGCCATCTCATGTTTATATCAGGAGGCTGTGTCCACGGGGCAGGTGTTTTGTGAAGCCAGCATCCCCATGTTGGAGCACCCAATTTGAGTCCCGGCTGTTCCACTTCCAGCTCTTTACTGATGCACCTGGGAGGGTAGCAGATGATGATGGCCCATGTGGTTGGGCCCCTGCCACCCACCTGGGAGACCTGGAAGGAGTTCCAGGCTCCTGGCTTTGGCCTGGTCCAACCCTGGCTGTTGCAGGCATTTGGGGAGTGAAGCAGTAGATGGGAACTCTGTCTCTGTCTCTGTCTCTGTCTCTGTCTCTGTCTCTTTCTCTTTCTCTTTCTCTTTCTCTTTCTCTTTCTCTGGGTGTGTGTGCATTCTGCCTTTCAAATAAATGTCTTTAAAACAAAAATGAGGCCACATCAGTGATTCTGTAGTTTCTAGGTTTGTGTAAGTCACTCTGGGGTGTTCACATAATAATGAAATGGCCTAATGAAGACTTTCTCAGAATGGATCCCTATTGTCAAGTGGTGTGTGGCTCTATTTATACTTACATATACACATATATGTATGCATATTACATATATCTGTTACATATATATGTATAACAATGTGTATGTATGTAATAGATCACTTTCTTATATATATGTTCACTTTCTGTGGTCTAATTGCCTAATATAAATCTACCTATTTTCCAGAGAGGGAAATTGAGGTTTGGAGAGATTTAATCACTCAGGAAGTTGAAAGATGAGATTGAAACAAAAAGTTGCCTACCTTTAACATCTGTGTTCTTTCTTGGCCCCTCCAGAGCCCAGGTTTTTTTTTTTTTTTCTTCAAGCAAGCCTAGAGCTGCTAGAGATCTTTTCTTGTTTAAAATCACCATTAGCAAAGTGGGCGCTTGGCCTAGGGGTCACCACACCCGTGGCCCGAATTGGAGGGTCAGGGTGCAATTCTAGGCTCTAGCTCCTGACTCCGGCCTCCTGCCAATGCAGACCCTGAGAGGACACGTGATGGCTTAAGTGGTCGGGTTGCTGCCACCATGAGGGAGACCCAGCTTGAGTTCCCAGCTCCTGGTTTCAGTCTTGACTCAACCCCTGCTCTTTTGGGTACTTGGGGAGTGGACCAGTAGATAGGAATGATCTCATTCTCTTTTTCTGCCTCTCAAATATACACCCTTATGGTGCTCATGTCTCATCATCGTGTAAAAAGATCTCTGTAGACAAAATAAAACCATCCTTAGCAATTATACACGGGGCCAGAGCTGTGGCATAGTGGGTAAAGCCATCACCTGCAGTGCGAGCATCCCATATGGGTGCTGATTGGAGTCCTGGCTGCTCCACTTCCAATATGGTTCTCTGCTATGGCCTGGGAAAGCAGTAGAAGATGGCCCAAGTCCTTGGGCCCCTGTACCTGCGTGGGAGACACGGAAGAAGCTCCTGGCTCCTGGCTTCAGGTCGGCACAGCTTCAGCCGTTGCAGCCAATTGGAGAGTGAACCAGTGGATGGAAGACCATTCTCTCTCTCTCTCTCTCTCTCTTCTTTCTCTAACTCTTTCAAGTAAATAAATAAACCTTTTTTTTTTTTTTTAAAAGCAGTTATACAATGAAAGCATTGAATGATGAGACAGAGGCACCGAGAGGTCCGGGAACTAGCCCGGGGTCTCACAGCCTTGGGGTACACTTGACCTTGTCACCTGTGCACGGTTCCCATGTCACTGTGGTGCATGCCTGTGCCGTTGTCACCGCCAGCGCCATGTTCCATCCAGGTAGGCTGCCAAGGTTGGCCTAGCCACTCCCTGGTCAAGGGCTGTTCTGTTTTCTCTACACAGTTCTCACAAGGAAGGTTGCATCATAGGTGCTTGTGAGGTTGTCTCTCAGCTTCCTAATACATAACTTCTTCTTTTTAGGATTTTATTTATTTATTTGGGAGGCAGTGGTACAGACAGAGAGGGGGAGAAAGAGAGAAAGAAAGGTCTTCCATTTCTGGTTCACTCCCCAAGTGGCTGCAATGGCCAGAGCTGAGCTGATCCGAAGCCAGGAGCCAGGAGCCAGGAGCTTCATCCAGGTCTCCCACATGGGTGCAGGGCCCACGGGCCATCCTCTACTGCTTTCTCAGGCCATTAGCAGGGAGCTGAATCAGAAGTGGAGCAGCCAGGACTCGAACCAGTGCCCAAATGGAATGCTGGCACCACAGGCAGAGGCTTAACCATAGTGCCAGCCTGCATACATTACTTCTAAACGTAAAATTGTTGTTATTTTTGAAGGAGAGGGTAAAATGGAAACAAACAAAAACACAGGGTCTCAGGTAGCTTCCCTCTCACTTTTGTGGAACCATGGAATCACACACATTGATAGAGGCATATGGCCGATAATACCTGGGGGTTCACAGCTCCGTGTCATCGTTGCGTTACGAGGCTGGAGGTGGTGTTCATGGAAGGGTTTCTGATGTCTTGCAGAGGATGGGCAGCGACCAGAGTGGACGTTTTACCCCAGGTTTAGCAGCAACATCCACACGTACCACGTGGGAAAGCAGTGCTTGTTCAACGGGGTCTTCCTTGGCAACCGGAGGTCGCTATCAGAGAGGACGGTGGACACGTGCCTCGGGAGAAAGAAATACGGTACAGCTTCCCCCTCGGGCCTCGCCTGTGCGCTGCCCGCTTCTGCAGCCCTGTGGGGTCACCGTGCCTCCCTAGTGCAGTCGGGAAGATAGGAGAGTGAAGGGGACGCTTGGCAGCCTACACGTTTGGCAAAGAACTCGCAACATATGCGGATCCACATTTCTGCTTTTCTCTCAATTTCATAAAATGCTAATGTGACATTTAAGTCATCAGATAAGTTCTCTCAGATACTTATTAATAGAAGCCCTCATTGAAGTCCGGAGAAAATCACTTATGTTTTTTCCATTAGATGCCACCTGTTCTATGTGTTAAAGTGTGTTTTATATTCCCCACTAGGAAAATAGCCCATAAACCTCAACCTTGAAGTGCCTGTGGTTATTTTATAGCTCATTTAACTAAAGACAATTGAGATGAACACGTGATATGAGAGGTCTTCAAAAAGTTTATGAAAAATGCAGTGTGAAAAAAAACTGTGCGTGGGTTCAGGATTTTTTTGTGCCAAAATACACATTACTTTTTTTATTTTTAAATTTTTATTTGAGAGAGAGAAGGAAAGAGACAGACGGACCGACAGACAGAGTCTAGACAGAGCTGGGAATCGAACCCGAGCGCACTGATACAGACGTCGGTGTCCTAGTCGATATCCTAACTGCTAGGCCAAACACTTGTCTCAAGCTTATTTTTAAGATTTATTTATTTATTTGAAAGTCAGAGTTTCACAGAGAGAGAAAGAGATGAAGAGAAAGAGAAAGAGAGGTCGAGAGAGAGAGAGGAGTTGAGAGAGGTCTTCCATCCACTGGTTCACTTCCCAAATGGCCGCAACGGCCAGAGCTGTGTCAATCCGAAGCCAGGAGCCAGGAGCTTCTTCCGGGTCTTGCACGTAGGAGCAGGGGCCCAAGGACTTGGGCCATCTTCTACTGCTTTCCCAGGCCATAGCAGAGAGCTGGATTGGAAGTGGAGCAGCCGGGACTCGAACCTGCTCCCATATGGGAAGCTGGTGCTGCAGGTGGCAGCTTTACCCACTATGCTGCAGCGCCAGCCCCAACCCAAGCTTCTCTTTAAATTCCATTTCCCATGAATTTTCTGAAGTACCCCAGTCAATATAATATAGGTTCCTTTGGATTTTAGATTGGTGAGTTTTCTGCTCCAGTTTTCTTACCAGGTCTATTGAAAGATCCCAGAGTTGCTGAGTACCCACGGGCGTGGCTGTCTCACTCTTCCATGGAAACACATGTGTAGGAGCAGCCTTTGCTTCAGGGAGGGATAGGGTTGCTGTGGCAGGGCTGCAAGGGGAGAGAACCAGAAAGCGTTCGTCTCTGAGCTTCAGAATAGACGTTTAAACTGATCACAGAGACAAATAGTCTTCAGAATCGAGGCTTGTATTTCTTTGGACAGAAAACATATGAAAAGCTCACAGCTAGGTGAGCTGGACAGGGATAGGGGCGTCTTTGAGGGCTCAGGCATCCTCCTGACACATCACAAATACATGGGATTCTCGTGAAGATCCAATCCCAACCTTAGCCCATCGCTTTCCCAACTCAGACGTAAACGCTGTCCTAAAGGTTTATGAGTCCCTTCCTTCCCCTCCCCTCCCCTCCCGTCCCGTCCTGTCCCTTTCTTCCCCCTCTTCTTCTTTTCTTCTCTCCTTCCCTTCTCCCTTCACTCTTTTTTCCTTTCTTTATTTTATGACTTTAGAAAGGCCAAATAAAAGCAAAGCGATGTTTATGGAATATTTGTTCAGTATATGAAATAAAATTCCACAATTATGTATTTCTTACATAATTTAAAAAATAGAATATTATCTCTTTAAAGATTTTTTTAAATTTATTTGAAAGGCAGAGTTAGAGAGGGGGTGACATACACAAAGGAGAGAGAGAGAAAGAGAGAGAGAGAGCGTGCTGTTTTACTCCCCAAATGGCAACAATGGCTAGGGTTGGGTCAGGCTGAAGCCAGGTGCCTGGATTCCATCCACGTCTCCCATGTGGCTGCCAGGGACCCAAGTACTTGGTCCATCATCCACTGCTTTCCCAGGTACCCTAGCAGGGAGCTGCATTGGAAGTGGAGCAGTGGGGACTCAAACTGGCTCTCATAGGATGCTGGCATCCCAGTGGCAGCTTAACTCATTGTGCCAGAGCACCAGCCCTGGAATATTCTCTTTATGCTTGAAGCTTCCAATATGCCTTTCTCTGAATACTGCATCTTTCCTCCCCCTCTGTTGGTGACCCCAAATTTGCCTTTATTAAAAAGAAAATGAATTTGTTAGATATGTTTCCAAAGGTCTAAGGTAGGGAGATTAGCATGATGTAATCTGATGTGCACATGCACTTGGCTTCAGTAATTATCAGCAGGCAGCCATTCCTGCCACCTTCACCCCTCCCCTCAGAGACTATTTTAAAGCAAATTCCAAGCATCATTATCATTTTATCTGAAGACTTATCATTATATATTTATTTTTTTAAAAAAAGATTTATATGTATTTATTTGAAAGTCAGAATTACACAGAGAGAGAAGGAGAGGCAGAGAGAGAGAGAGGTCTTCCATCCGTTGGTTCATTCCCCAGTTGGCCTCAATGGCTGGAACTGTGTCAATCTTGAAGCCAGGAGCCAGGAGCTTCTTCCAGGTCTCGCATGTAGGAGCAGGGGCCTAAGGACTTGGGCCATCTTCCACTGCTTTCCTGAACCATAGCAAAGAGCTGGATCAGAAGTGGAGCAGATGGGACTTGAACCAGTGCCCATATGGGATACTGGCACTGCATGCGGTGGCTTTACCAGCTACACCACAGCACCAGCCCCAATATCATGTCTTTAAAACATTGAGGGGCCGGCACTGTGGCAAGGTGGGTAAAGCGGCCGCCTGTAGTTTCAACATCCCATATGGGTGCTGATTCGAGTCCCAGCTGCTCCACTTCTGATCTAGCTCTCTGCGATGGCCTGGGAAAGCAGTAGAAGACAGCCCAAGTGCTTGGGCACCTGCCCCACTTGGGAGACCCAGAAGAAGCTCCTGGCTCCTGGCTTCAGATCGGCACAGGTCTGTTTCTGCCTTTCAGGCAAATCAATAAAAATTTTTAAAAAAGTTGGACTAGGGGCATTATTCCAGTACTAATCTATCCGCTGGCATTACTTGAGTGCCAGTTTTGTGCTTTATCCACCCTATCTAGTACTCATAGTACCTGCAAAGTAGACATTTGGAGTAAGCAGTGTATAAATGAGGTTACTAAGCCCTGGGAGGTTAAATAAAGAGTTCAAAGGCACAGAGCTAGAAATTGCCGCATTGAATCGGCACTCAGGTGTGACTGACCCCGAAGACCAAACCCTTCTTGTCACCTCTTGCTGTCAGTGGAGCTTGGCTTGAAAATCAGAAGATAGGATCACTCCGCTGTGCCTGCATTGAAGCCTCAGCACCACATGCCCAGCGGGCACTCAGGCGTGGGTACAGTTGAGCTAAGCAAGATAAAGGTAACAAGTTAAATCCCCCAGTAACTCAGGCCCCCAGATGTCCTGCAGATGGCTTAGTCAGAGGGTTTGGGTAAGTAGGAATCAGCTTGTATTAGGTTGTTTTCTGTTGCTATAACAAAATGCCTGCAACTGAGTACTTCCTGAAGAGGTTGGCTTAGCTCACAGTTTTGGAGGTTGAAAGCCCAAGGTCAGGCACCCCGATCTCAGCATCTTGGCGGCCTCACAGTGTGACAGAGGAGTGGGAAAGCAACCACCCAAGTGCTGATGGGCCACGTGCAGGGGCGGCCTCACCTCATAACAGTGTATGCTCAGGGCCAGTACTGTGGCACAGTGGGTTAAGCTGCCATTTGCAATGAGGTTGAGTGTCGGCTGCTCTGCTTCTGCTCCAGCTCCCTGCTGTTAATAGCCTGAGAAATCAGTGGAAAGTGGCCCAAGTGCACCCACATGGGAAGACCCGGAGGAAGCTCCTGACTTTGGATTGGCGTAGCTCTAGCTGTTGTGGCCATTTAGGGAGCCAACCAGCAGATGTAAGACCTCGTTCCCTCTCTCTCTCTGCCTCTGCCTCTGCCTTTCTGTAACTCTGCCTTCCAAATAAATAAATAAATAAATCTTAAAAAAAAATAAGCCTTGAGGGGTGGGCATTTGGCATAGTGGTTAAGACACTTCTTGGGGCTATTGAATTCCATGTGACAGTGCCTGGGTTCGACTCCTGGATTCATTTCTGATTCCAGCTTCCTGCTAATAAGCACCCTGGGAGGCAGCGAGTTGTTGAGTCCCTGCCACTGGCGTGGGAGACCTGGACTGAGTTCCTGGCTCCTGGCTTTGCCTGGTCCAGCCCTGGCTATTGTGGATATTTGGGGAGTGAACTAGCAGATGGAAGATCTCTCTCTCTCTCTCTCTCTCTGTCTCTGTCTCTGTCTCTCTGTCTCTGTAACTCTGCCTTTCAAATAAATAAATCTTAAAAAACAAACAAACAAACAAACAAGTGGGCTTTCTCCAGACTGCTCCTGGTCTGGAAGGAACCCGCTGCTGTTGCCGCACAGCCCCAGGCCTGAAAGCAGCCGGATGCAGGATGCTCATCACCTGGTTTCCTCTCGCCCGGCTCAGAGGGGCTGGGCCCCAAGCACAGCTGCCTGCTGGGACTCCAGGCATCAGGGATCTTTCGGGTCATTGCTAAGATCCCTCTGATACACCTCATATGTGTTTTGAACACAGCGCCTCAACAGAGCCTGCACTAGCATCCCAAACATAGGATGTTGAATGATCTTATTTTCAATATTTCTCACAGATATTGATTCCAGGAATGGAATCCCCAAGTTGACTCCAGGGGATAATCCATACATGTCCCCAGAACAGAGTAAAGACTTCCACAAAGCCGGATCAACTCTTCCACCAGTGAACTTTTCAATGTAAGTGTATCTGGTAGTATGTAGGTAGCCTTAAAGGAATTAGATCTCTCTCCACTAAATATAAAGTGGTAGGGCTCAACAAGGCATGATTGGTGAAGATTCCTTAAACAGTTTGTCCTTGATTAGTATATACACACGTGCATGTGTGTAACTGAAATTATACACAGGATTACAAAAAGAAGTGGTTGTTAATTTTGTGTCTATTTTTATTACCACAAATTTGAAGACTCAAATTTTCCTACCAAACCGGATTGTTGGGTAGTGACTATTATGTGGGTTAACTTAAACTTGGAACTGAAGTTAGATCAACGTGATTGAAGAGAATGGGAGCATCATTAAACTAGTAAAATAGGTGGTGTATTAAATTTAAAATATGTTTTTTAAGAAATTAATCAAGTGGCATTTAATGATTTGATTAAAAGTGATCCAAATAATAAAAACGATGGCTCAACGGTTTTAAAGTCTGTACTTAAAAATCAAAGCAAGGAAAAAGGACTTTTTATTGACCAAATAAGATATTGTTCTCTATGCTTTGAAGCCATACCAATTTTATGGTTACCTTTTCTGTTTTTCAGAGTGCCTTACGTAAAGAAATTTGATACCTTTATTCCACTTGAGCCTCTTCCACAATCTCCCAAGTGAGTTCTCCCACTATGTTTTATCAAGTTTGTAGTAATTTCTCTTGTGGTGGAGTCTAGGGACCAACACTTAGGGATCTTTTGAATCCTTGCAGGTGGGCATTTGGGAGACCGTGGAGGTCAAGTGTCTGTGGATTTTATCAGTTGGGATGGTCACAACAGATGTGACTGGGGAACTACTGACTGTCCTGTGCTATGGTAGGCTGTGTGTGTAAGAGAGTTTACAAGTGGCGGAAAGAGAGGATTCCTGCTTCCAGAATATAAAAAGTTTGTTGGTGGGGCTGGTGCTGTGGCACAGTAGGTTAAAGCCTTGGCCTGAAGCGCCAGCATCCCATACAGGTGCCAGTTCAAGTCCCTGATGCTCCACTTCTGATCCAGCTCTCTGCTATGGCCTAGGAAAGCAGATGGCCCAAGTCCTTGGGCCCCTGCAGCCACGTGGGAGACCTGGAAGAAGCTCCTGGCTCCTGACTTCAGATCAGCTCAGTTCTGGCTGTGCAGCCAATTGGGAAGTGAACTTGCAGAGGAAGACCTCTCTCTCTGTCTCTACCTCTCTCTGTAACTCTGTCTTTCAAATAAATAAAAGCAAATCTTTTAAAAAAAGAGTTTGTTGGAAAATAAAGACACATACTTAGAGGTGAGTATTCAGCCTAGTGGTTAGGACGTATGCCTTCCACATACGGGTATCTTTGTTCCATTCCTGACTCTCACTCCTGACTCCAGCTTCCTGTTAATGCACACCCTGGAAGGCAGCATTGACGGCTCAAGTGATTCCAGTGATTAGGTTTCTGCCACCCACCTGGGAGACCTGGATAGCATTCTGGCCTTGGCCAAGTTTGGTCATTGCAGGCAGCTGTGGGTGAACCACCAGATGGGAAGGCTCTTTCCCTCCCATCTGTCTCTCTCTGTAGCTGCCTCGCAAGTAAATGAATGATTTAAAAATGATGCATATTTGGATGACTGCATGCAGGGAGAGTTTTGAGAGACAGAAGGCCAGCGTCATCCCTCTAACTTCATACTTCTCAGCTGCATTCTGACCCGAAGCAGTTTCTGAACTAGAGAGTTTTGTTTGTTTGTTTGTTTTTGTTTTTACTTTCCAATATTAAGTAGTCTCATGTAAGTATGGCTAGTGCGGGCAAGCATCTCACAGTCTCACCCACCAGGAACAAGCTAGAGGGACAAACCCTGAGCTTGGTGGGAATAAATGTTTTTTATTCCAAACTTGGGACCTTTGATACCTTTGTTATACAGCATTATTATATACAACACACACATAATTAGGGCGTCTCATGTCTATATCCTACACTTTTTATAACTACTATTCTAGAATATTCAAAATAATAGCAATTGTCTAAATGACATCACCCTACCTACATATTTTACCTTCTGTACAATTGCCATTCATATGCAAATATGTTTTATGTGTATAAATCATAGACAACTGATTAATCTGGATTTTATTTAAAAATGGTATTTTATAAAGATTTATTTATTTATTTACGTGAAAGACAGTGACAGAAAATGAGAGACAGAGAGATCTTCCTTTTGCTGGCTTACTCCCCAGATGGCCTCAAGAGCCAGGTTTGGACCAGGCTGAAGCCAGGAGCCAAGAACTCCATCCAGGTCTCCCACGTGGGTAGCAAGGACTCAAGCACTTGGGCCATCATCTACTGCCTCCCAGATGAATTTCTTTTTTCTTTTCTTCTTTTTTATTTAAGGTTTACTTATTTATTTGAAAGGCAGAGTTACAGAGAGGCAAAGGCAGAGGGAAAGAAGTCTTCCATCTGCTGGTTGACTCCCCAGATGGCCAATCCAAAGCCAGGGGCCAGGAGCTTCTTCTGGGTGCAGGGTCCCAAGGACTTGGACCATCTTCTACTGCTTCCCATATGCATGCCATAGCAGGCAGCTGGATTGGAAGTGGAACAGCCAGGACTCAAACTGACACACGTATGGGATGCTGGCACTGTGGGCAAAGGCTTCACCCACTACACCACAGCGCTGGCCCCCCAGATGCATTTCTAGAGTAGCCTTTACTCTAGGAAAAGTTCAACCCTGCTGCTAAGGTGGACTCTTTTGAGGTCTCCACTGAATGGCTTGAGTGACGAATAAGGAGTCTTCTCTTTAGTTTGTGGGAACTCAAAGGATCTTTGGCTCTTTGGGAGCCCTGGAAACCATCCAGTTCAGTTCCCTAGTCACCTTATTATCCAATCTCGTGGAGTTCCACTTTATACGTGTGCCTTAGTATTCAGCAAAGACTCAAAGGGAGCGCCATGCCAAGTTCTGTAGCATGTTTTCTGTCTGGCTCCTCCAGAGCTGTGCCCTGTAGCTCCAGACCACTAAAACGCTCTGGACTCTGCTCTCGACTCTTTAAACTCAGCAAGAACATCATGCTCTGCCTGGTCTTGCCCATCTCTGCTCTGTGGCCTTCCATGTGCCAAAGCTGGTGACCACAGGGCTCTCCCCTCTGTTTGCCTTTCCCCAGGAAAATCCTATGCTGTCTGTGGCCTCCTATCTGAAAGCAATTGTGTCACACATTTTGTCTAGCTTTCTAGTTGATTTAGTCAGGAGAGTAAATATCATCCTTGCTACTCTATATGGCTGGAAGCCAGACTCCTGGTTACCTGTGAATAAAAACTGAAGGTGTTTTCTTGCCTGAGTTATTTGATGAATCAGTTTTGTACACATACAGGACTCTCATTAAAATCATTCGCATCTTTTTTTTTTTAAGATTTATTTATTTATTTGAAAGTCAGAGCTACACAGAGAGAAAGAGAGGCAGAGAGAGAGAGGGAGAGAGGGAGGTCTTCCATCCGCTGGCTCACTCCGCAATTGGCTGCAACGGCCAGAGCTTCGTAGATCCGAAGCCAGGAGCCAGAGGCTTCTTCTGGGTCTCCCAAGCAGATGCGGGTGCCCAAGGACTTGGGCCATCTTCTATTGCTTTCCCAGGCCACAGCAGAAAGCTGGATTGGAAGTGGAGCAGCCAGAACTTGAACTAGTGCCCATATGGGATGCCAGCACTGCAGGTGGTGGCTTTACCCGTTACAGCATAGTGTTGGCCCTCACATATTTTTTTTAAAAAAGATTTATTTATTTTGAAAGTCAGAGAGAGAGAGGTCTTCCATCCCTGGTTTTTCACTCCCTAGAGCAACAGCCAGAACTGGACCGGGCTGAAGCCAGGAGCTTCACTGGGGTCTCCCACATGGGTGGCAAGGGCCCAAGCACCTGGGACATTTTCTACTGCTTTTCCCAGGTCATTAACAGAGAGCTGGATCAGAAATGGTGCAGCCAGGACTCAAACTGCACCCATATGGGATGCCAGCATTGCAGGCAGTGGCTTTACCTGCTACATCACAACACCAACCCTGTTTACATCTTTAAATATTGTACTAATTGTGTTTTAAAATCTAAAAATGCAAAAATTTGCAAATGCAACAATCCAACTTTAAGACAAGGATTAAACTTGATAGCAAGAGTTTTTTTTTTTTTTTTATGACTTGCTCAAGTCTTTCCTAGATAGTTGGTGACAGAGCCAGAATTAAAATAAAAATTAGGTGGATGAGATAAGTTACTGAAAAGATCCCTGTCATTTGTACTATCAGTTACGATTTCATCAGCTCACCAGATGTCAATAAAGCACCATTTGTGCATTGGGCCTAAGGATAGATGGGAAAGTGGTGAGGTGATAGAGGCAGGGGACCCCGAGGGGAAGAAGGCATGATGCTTCTTTCAAGGCTCACTGGTTAGAGGCAGACAGAGACCAGTACGGGAGCAATCATAGAAGCTGAAAGTGCACAGGGTACAATGTGCACATGGAGGGAGGATGATTGTGGGGAAGTTGGGAATGTGCTGTAGAGGGGGCAAGTTCTGACATGGGTCCTAGATGAGTAGTAGAAGTTTGCCAGGAAAGAATGGAAGAGGGCTATTACAGTGAATGTGTCCTCCAAGGAGAGGGTATTAGGGTGCCCATCCATATTATCACGTGTAGAACTTACTTTTCAACATTTTAGCCATTCTGAAGTCAGTATTCATCTTTCACCCAAAGAAGGGCAGGTGTTGCTTCACGAGACTCTTTCCATGTACACTGGAAAAGAAAGTATGTTCCACTTAATCCGGGTGCAGAGTTAGATACCCAAAAGGCTGAGCTGACTATTCCTGTGGTTGAGTCTCTGTATCTCCTTGCTTTTTTTTTCTTAATTTAATTTTTTTTTTTTTGACAGTCAGAGTGGACAGTGAGAGAGAGAGACAGAGAGAAAGGTCTTCCTTTGCCCTTGGTTCACCCTCCAATGGCCGCCGCGGCCAGCGCGCTGCGGCCGGCGCACCGCGCTGATCCGATGGCAGGAGCCAGGAGCCAGGTGCTTTTCCTGGTCTCCCACGGGGTGCAGGGCCCAAGCACCTGGGCCATCCTCCACTGCACTCCCTGGCCACAGCAGAGAGCTGGCCTGGAAGAGGGGCAACCGGGACAGAATCCGGCGCCCCGACCAGGATTAGAACCTGGGGTGCTGGCGCCACTACGTGGAGGATTAGCCTAGTGAGCCACGGCGCCGGCCCTCCTTGCTTTTTTTTTTTTTTGTCCTCTTGCCCTAGCATGGACTGAGAGCTGGTGTGTTCAAGTGTCTGAATAGTAGTGTGTTCCTATCCTTGTTGTGGATTGTGCCTTGTTGCATTATACAAATACCTTTGTTTTTTCTGCTGTAATGCTTTTTGTCCTAATTATACTTTGCCAGATATTAAGATAGTTCTTACTTTATTTTGTTTGTGTTTGACTGATATTCCTTTGCCTATTCTTTTGCTTTTAAATCCTTCATTTTAGGGTTTGTCTTTTACATTTAGAATTGGATTTTTTTTTTTTTGACAGGCGGAGTTAGACAGTGAGAGAGAGAGACAGAGAGAAAGGTCTTCCTTTTCCGTTGGTTCACCCCCCAAATGGCTGCCACGGCCGGTGTGCTGCTCCGATCTGAAGCCAGGAGCCAGGTGCTTCCTCCTGGTTTCCCTTGCGGGTGCAGGGCCCAAGCACTTGGGCCATCTTCCACTGCCTTCCTGGGCCACAGCAGAGAGCTGGACTGGAGAAGAAGCAACCGAAACAGAATCTGGCGCCCCAACCAGGACTAGAACCCAGGGTGCTGGTGCCGCAGGTAGAGGATTAGCCTAGTGAGCTGCGGCGCTGGCCTAGAATTGGATTTTGCTTTATGAGCCAATTTGGAAATATTTTTTCTTTAATAAGTGAATTAAGGCCATTTGTATTTATTGTTTTGACTGATATATTTGATTTCAGACCTCTCATGTTATGTTGTTATATTTTTTGTGTATTCTATTGAATTTACTGTGACTCTTTCACTGTTTCCTTCATTTGCTTCAAGAAAAGAGAGTCTTCCTTTTCATACTGAGAAATGCTTATGTTGTTGCTTTAGTGGTTCTTTGTGCTTATATATATGTGTATATATATACACACATGTATATATATTTTAAGATTTATTTACTTGAAAGAGTGACAGAGAAGGAGAGAACGACAGAAAGACAGAAATCTTCCATCTGCTGGTTTATTCTCCAAATGGCTGAAATAGTTGGGACTGGGCCAGGCTGGGCTCAGAGCCAGAAACTCCATCTGGGTCTCTCATGTGGGTGCAGGAACTCAAGTATTTGAACCATGACCCACTGCTTCCCAGGCATATTATTAGGGAGCTGGGTGGGAAGTGGAGTAGCTGGGATTCAAACCAGCACTTTGATATGGGCCGTGGGTGTCTCAAGCATCAGCTTACCTTGCTGTAGCACAGCAACCACCCCTATGTTTAGTTTTTAATCCTGTTTTTCTTACCAGGGCTTCTACTATTTGGCTTGTCAGCTCTAAGTGATCACCTTGACTCCTGCCTCTTGCCCACGTGCTGGCCCTCTTCCTTCTCGTAGAAACTTCCCTACCTCCAGTGATTCTAGCAGGGCATTTTCCTAGTCATGGCACATTCCTTCTTAAAAGTACAAGAATTCCAGCTGCCGAAAGATAAAACCATTCTCTCCCTCCCTGCTCACACTTACCCCAGGAATTCTACTTCCTGTAACCTCTTGGAGCACATGCATGTTTCCACACTCGCCCATCATGTGCCCTTTCGAGGTGCAATGGACCTACGAGGGCTCTGGTGTCTGCCTTAGCCAAGGCCCCAGCAGAAAGTAGAAAGCACACCCAGCTGGGATTCTGAAGACAGCTTAATGAAAGGGACTCCTCATGGGAATGTGGGCAGAGTTGGGGGAGGGTGCAGCGTCCAGAGGTGTGAGTAGCAAGAACCGAGATCATGGTTCACAGAGCCATGAGAGCAGGAGCCCTGCAAGAGGGCTGCCCCCCGGGAGCTGTGACGTTGCAGGATGAGCCACCACTAGGGTGAGGTGTCCCAGAAGGTAGGGTGACAATCAGGGTAAGAAACACCCCAATCTCTCTTTTTCCACCTTCCAATCTCCAGCTGGTGCCTCTTCTTAGCCAGGCCCAACCTCAAGGGCAGGGGCAGGGGGAGCCAGGGTGATGCCAGTTGCCAGGGTCAGCCTCCTGGCAGAGAAGGGCAGCAGGGAGACCTGGGGAGGGTGAATGGTGAACAAGTAAGGTGGTCTTTTGTTTTGAAGCTGGTCTCCTGAATGGGAGGCCTTTTTACTTTGGAGCACCAACAGTGCTTGTGAACTTTGCATTGGACAGATTCACACTCAGGGCTCTCTTCTCCCTACAGCTTGCCCTTCTGGGTGAAGGAGAAGGCCAACAACCTGAGGAATGAGATAACAGAAGTTGAGGAGCTCAACAAGTGGCAGCCAGCGGTGTCCTTGGCCAACAGTTTATTTGCTTCTGGTGGGTTAAAGAACCTTCCAGAAATACCAGAAAAACTGGATGAGTGCAGAAAAGCAGGTCTTTGAGAGGTTTTGCAATGCTGAGGAGAGAATGTGAGGCCTCTCTGGGGTGGATGCATCATCTGCCTCGAGCTGGTCCCTTGGGCAGGGGCCATGGCTGTGCATCCAGGCTCAAAGATGTTGTTAGAGAACTCCTAGTCTTGTGGTGGAACACATCGCAACTCTGTGCCTCTACCCACAGGTGCTTTGGACTTTCCAAGACAATCCTGAGTCTCAGCAGGTCCTGCAAGGATGTACTGAGCACATCCGGCTAGCCTCCTGCAGTTGATGGTTTTTGACAGTCTGACCATTGGAAATTAAAAGTTTGATTCTAAAGGGAACGCTGTGTGTTGCCTTTTTTAATCTTATATTTTGTAAAGGTTTACACTGCAAGCCTGCCTACATCAGTGTGGATCCCCCAAGGTCACGGATATCCTCTAACGACCACAATACAGATGCCAAAGTCAGGGAACTTAATGTTGATACAATACTGCTAATATATAGTCAGTCCACATCCAATATCATTCAGCTGTATTTTGTTTCCAAGGATACCCTCAAGTCCATGGTAAAATGCAGATACCATGCAAATGTCTTAGTCTGTTTGGGCTGCTGTAACAAACTATCATCAACTGGGTGTTTTTTAAAAGAAGCTTATTTATTTATTTTTGATCTGCTTGAAAGGCAGACTGACAGAAAGAGAAAGAGAGAGACAGACAGATCTTCCATCTGCTGGTTCCCTCCCCACACACCCACAACAGCAGGGGCTGGGCCAGGCTGAAGCCAGGAGCTAGGAACTCAGTGCAGGACTCCTACATGGGTGGCAGGACCCAGGTACTTAATCCATAATCTGCTGCCTCTCAGAGTGTGCATTAACAGGAAGTTGGATCTGAAGCAGAGTCGAGACTTGATCCCAGGCACTCTGACATGGGATGTGGGCAGTCCAAGTGGCAGACTAACCCATTGTGCCCCAATGCCCACCCCAACTGAGTGTCTTATAAACAACAGGAATTCATTTTTCACAGTTCTGGAGGCTGGGAAGTCCAAGCTCAAGGTGCGGTAAATTGGTGTCTGGTGAGGGGCCCTGTCCTGTTTCATAGACTGTGCCATAGATTCTTGCTGTGTCCTCACACGGTGGAAGGGGCAGGCAAGCTCTCTGGGCACTAATCACACCCCTGGGAGGGGATCCTGCAGGACCTGGTCTTCTCCCAGTGACCTTACCTCCTAATACCATAACCTTTGGGGCTAGGTTTCAACATAGGCATGTGTGCATGTGTGTGTGTGTGTGTGTGTGTGTGTGTGTGATGGCGGCTGAGTCGGGGGACACAGACTTTCAGACCATAGCAGTGAGCTTTCACTATTTATTGGTAAAACCAGTCTCATTTTCTGAATACCTTTTGGTATTTTCTCAAATATTCACTTGGTACATGTAAGAAAAATGTGAATGGTGGATCCATACTAGGTAATTATTTTGATTACCCTGTAGCCCATTCCCTACTTCAGTGTTTGCCTACACAGCCAACTATAGCGAGAATTCAGTGGCCACCAATCATGAATCTAGGACCTACCACCAATCAGAAAAAAACAGATATTTAGGATGAGTGTTTGCTGCTGCGATGCTGGTTCATGTCGCAGCTGCTCCACTTCTGACCCAGCTCCCTGCTAATGGGCCGGGGAAAGCAATAGAAGATGGCTCAAGAGCCTGGGGCCCTGCCACCCACGTGGCAGACCCAAAAGAAGCTCCTAGCTCCTGGCTTTGGCTTGGCCCAGCCCTGGCCATTGGGGCCATCTGAGGAGTCAAACAGGGGATAGAAGATCTTTCTTTCTCTTTGTAACTCTGTCTCTCAAATAAAATCTACTTTTTTTTTTAATACACAACATTTAGAGGAAAAGATGGGAGCAAAAACCAACCTTATATAGTTGGGCTGTGACAGAGTCAAACTAATGACTCCCAGCATTCTCATAGCCCATCTCCTTTCCCCCTAAGGGGGCTAATGAGGTGAATGAGGGATGCAGCTCTGATCACTCCAAAATCTTAATGTGGAAAGGGAGACTTGGGGCCCGTGCTGAGACTAAAAAGGATTTGTGAATATTCTGGGGGACTCCACTAATTGTCTACATTTCTAATAGGAGATATTCAGTTTGGCTAAACTGTTTCCTCTTAAGCCCTCTAAAACTAGATAGATAAAAATGTTGTGTATAGAGCTTGACTTGGTAAAGCATTTTAGAGCTTGAGGCCCTCAAGATTATGCCAGCAGCCTAGAGAGGGTTTCCGCCCCTCCCCGGCTGGATAGATAAATACCTCCATTCAAGACTGAACAATATGCTAGGTGGTGGTAAGGCAGTCACCTTGTAGAGGGAAAATAACATGGGCATTGAATGGTGCCCTTCTGATGCTGGGGAGCTCCAAGAGGGACTTGACCTGACCCCACCTTGAGAAATGGGGAGGACTCTGCTGATCTGAGAGCCAACCCTGAGGCTCCAGCGCTGGCCCTAAAATAAATAAATCTCAGGGCCAGCTTTGTGGCTCAGTGGGTTAAAGCCCCAGCCTGCTGGGCCGGCATCCCATATGGGCACCGGTTTGAGTCCTGGCTGCTCTTCTTCCAATCCAGCACTCTGTTAAGCCCTGGGAAAGCCGTAGAAGATGGCCCAAGTCCTTGGGCCCCTACACCTGCATGGGCAACCTGGAAGAAGCTCCTGGCTCCTGGTTTCAGATCAGCTCAGCTCTGGCCATTGTGGTCATTTGGGGAGTCAACCAGTGGAATGGAAGACCTCTCTCTCTCTGGCTCTACCTCTCTCTGTAACTCTGTCTTTCAAAGAAATAAAATAATTCTAAAAATTAAATAAACAAATAAATAAATCTTTTAAGAAAAGTGTATTAGCTTCCTAGATTGCTTTAACAAAGAACCCTAAACTGCATCTTCTGAAACAAGACAAATGGATTCTCTCGAAGTTCTGGAGGCTGAGAGTCTGAAATGAAGGTGTTAGCAGGGTGGGCTCCTTGTTGGAGGCTCAGAGGGAGAATGCTTTCCATACCTCTCTCATAGCTTCTGGTGGTTGCTGGCAATGCACCGAGTTCCTTGGCTGGCATATGCACCGCTCCAATCTCTGCCCCCTTCTTCACGAGGACTTCTCCCTGTAAGCCCATCTCTCTTCTCAGAAGGACACTGATCATCGAATTTAGAGTCAGCCCTACTCCGGTGTGTCAGCCAGCTTTTTGTCACTAACAAAATACCTGAGGTGGCCAAACTTTAGAAAGGAAAAAGGTTTGTTTTGGCTCATTGTTTTGGAGGTTCACAGTTCGAGATTAGGCAGCCCCACTGCTTCAGTCTCTGCTGATGGCTTCTTGCTGTCAGGGTCCCAAGGCAACACAGAATACCACATGACAAGAAGAGGCATATGTCTGTTTTTGTCTTTATAAAGCTACCAGGATTTAATCATGGAGGTTCCACCCTAATAACCCAATTCAAGCCAATCCCCTCCCAAAGCTCCACCTCCAAAAATAAAAAATTGGATTATGTTTCTACCTTCTTAGTTAACGTTAGGACAAAAGCCCTGAGGTCAAGGGGACAAATATCAAACTGTAACATCCAGTATGACATAACCTTTTAATTTTTTTAAAAAGATTTATTTTCTTTATTTTGAAAGGCAGAGTGACACAGAGAGAGGAGAGATAGGGAGGGAAGTCTTCTATCTCTGGTTCATTCCCCAATGGCTGCAACAGCTGGAGCTGGGCTGATCCGAAGCCAGGACCAGAGGCTTCCTCTGGGTCTCCCAAGTGGGTATAGGGCTCAAGGACTTGGGCCATCTTCCACTGCTTTCCCAGGTGCATTAGCAGGGAGCTGGATAGGAAGTGGAGCAGCTGGGACTCAAACTGGTGCCCATAAGGGATGCCAGCACAGCAGGCAGCAGCTTAACTTGCTATTGCACAGCACTGGCTGGAGCCAAGAATGGAATCCAGGTACTCCAACATAGGATGTGGGTGCCCCACCAGTGCCTTAAATGCTAGGCCAAAAGCCTGCCTTGGTACGACCTCATTTTAATTTTATCACATCTGCAAAACCTCTTATTTCCAAATAAGGTCACATTTACAGGTCCTGGGGATTGGGACTTGAACATATCTATTTTGGAGGACACAACTCAACTAACAAGAGGAAGAAAGATTTCTTTGTCTTACAACTTATTACAGGTTTTTTTTTTTTTTTTTTTTTGGAGCCTCTGCAAGAGGAGAGACCAGAGCATGTGATTTTTCACACTCAGGTCCCCCTGTCATTGTTTATGGGGTATCCCACATGACTGGCATTCTGAGGAACATATTTGGGAAGCAATTCCTTGGATAAATGAGGAGGAAGTGGAGGTTCAGAGTGGCCACTCATGTAGCTAAAGGTGATTGACTCTACCTCTAGCATGTGACACCTTAGACTGTCTGGTTGTGGCTGCTCCTGTGGCTCTTCACTAGAGATCCCTGGTAGTTCTTGGGGTGGAGATGGCTTCTTTGGGGGAGTCCTTCAGACTTGGCTGGTGAGGCTGTGGTGATATGGTATGGGAAACTGGCCAATCCGTGCCATCCTATAGGACAGTCTGTTTATGGCCATGGGGCTCTGGTTTCAGATATCCCAGAAGTTGCATATGTTGTATTTTCGGAATCTTGAAAAGGGACACACAATTTGCATGTTCAAGGGTAACCTGAAGGACAATTGACAGGGCTACTCTCTTCAGGTCAGCTGGTTGTACAATGCATGCCCCTAAGGGAATCTAATTCACATCCTAGATGTGGTAGATTTAATTTTCTTCTAGTAGAGTGTTCTGTTCACAAAGCATAAGTATTTTGCAACAGTTCCCTCAGATGTAGCAGCAAATTGTCTTGATGCAGGGGCACCTTTTTCTAGCTTGTATAAAAGTGACATGTGGCATAGAGGTAACCCTGAGTGGGAAGGAGGAAGCCATTATTATGGACTCTTGAAATATTAGCTCTGGGCCAGCGCCGTGGCTCACTAGGCTAATCCTCCGCCTTGCAGCGCCGGCACACCGGGTTCTAGTCCCGGTCGGGGCGCCGGATTCTGTCCCGGTTGCCCCTCTTCCAGGCCAGCCCTCTGCTGTGGCCAGGGCCCTGCACCCCATGGGAGTACCTGGCTCCTGCCATAGGATCAGCGCGGTGCGCTGGCTGCAGCGCGCTGGCCGCGACGACCATTGGAGGGTGAACCAACGGCAAAGGAAGACCTTTCTCTCTGTCTCTCTCTCTCTCACTGTCCACTCTGCCTGTCAAAAAAAAAATAATAAAAAAGAAATATTAGCTCTGAAATGGCACTGAGAGAGCACTGGTCCAACTCTGGATTTGCTAGAACTCTTGCTTACAAGTAATAGAAATCCGACTCCAACTGTCTGAAGCCTAAAAGGGAACTAACTACCAGAACCCAAGAATAGGGATGCAGGTAGGACTCAGGAACATAATAGGTCCAGGGATGCAGCATGGTAGAGACCTACCTCTATCTCTCTACATGTTCCAATCTGCTCCTGTCACTGCAGCTGAGACTGGCCTTCTTAGTCCGCCTAGTGCAAAACAAGGTGGTAGACAATACCTGGGTGTCACACATGGGTCCCATCCTGGAGGTTCAGCAGCCAGCAGAGCTATTGACCTCTTCTAGTTTGCAGAGTCAAAATTCCTGGAGAGAAGACTTAATTGGTTCAGCCTGGATCAGATCAATCAAATGGCTAGTGTGTATGTGTACATGAGATCATAGCCATGGCAACAGAATGGATGTTGGGGGTGGAGTGGGCAGGAGATAACAGCCACACATGACACAGGGGAGCATTGCAGAGAGGTCCACACAGAAAATGGCTATCACCAGTCACACCTCCAGTTGACAACAGATAGGAGTGAGTCTAGATCTTAGATGGCCAACTCTGAGTGCTCTCCATAATTCTACACTGTTTCCCTTTCAACAGAGGGAGTGATTTTGTTGATGACAGTCCCCATTTCAAGATTAGAGGGGGTTGAATAGGGATAGGATGGATACAAGAGATCCTGAGGAGGTAAAATAAAAAAGATAGAGGGGGCTGGCACTGTGGCATAGCGGGTTAGGCCGCCACCTGCAGTGATGGCATCCCATATTGGTGCCGGTTCAAGTCCCTGCTGCTCCACTTCTGATCAACTCTCTGCTATGGCCTGGGAAAGCAGTAGAAGATAGCCCAAGTCCTTGGGCCCCTGCACCCACGTGGGAGACCTGGAAGAAGCTCCTGGCTCCCGGCTTCAGATCGGCACAGCTCCAGCTATTGTGGCCAATTGGGGAGTGAACCAGTGGATGGAGGACCTCTCTCTCTCTCTCTCTCTCTCTCTGCCTCTGCCTCTCCTCCTCCTTCTGTATAACTCTGACTTTCAAATAAATAAATAAATCTTCCAAAAAAAACCACCTTAATTCTAAAAGAAAGATAGAAGATGGGGCATGAGGAATGAGGAGGGATCGAAGATGGCTCCAAGTCATTGGTGACATCAAAAATGTGATGAGTTGGCAGCCTGTCTGAAGCAACCGAAGAAAACATGAAATAAGAGAAATGAAAGTTAGGACTTTTCTCATGATGACACTCTGGATGTCCCAACACAAACTGACCTGCTCATCAGACAAGCCACATCCCCTGGAAACCTCTGCCAGTGCTACATTGGCTGGTGTCATTTCTGCTACCTGGAGGCCCAGATGTACCCACAACATTTCCTCTGAGGCTTTTGGTGATGTTTCTTCTAAACCAATATTCATCAGGAAAACTGACTTTGTTGACTATTTAGAAGTGTAAATGAAAAGAACTACCACATATTCCAAGCTGGTTTGAACCAATTTTCTAGCTGTGGTTGAAGTTAGAAACACAGGCCTGATTTGGTCCCCAGGACAGTGAAACAGGAATACCATGTGAAGAAAGCCTGTAGATTTGGAGGAACAGAAGATCCTTTAGAGACACAGGTTCTACTTACAAGAGGACTCGTCATGCATATTTGCTGACAGAAGAATGGCCCTGTCATGCTCTCAACATGGGGACAAGGGATTCAGCGCAGTCACCAAGCCTCAGGTCAGGAAGGACACGGATCAGAGTCCAGGACTAGAAGCAGCACACGTGGTCCATTCCACCCCCCCATTACCTCGCTGGTCCAGGGACAGCATCCGCAACACAAGACAGTCTAAAATGGCTGCAAAAGATCCGTCCTCTGCCTGGCCCAGTGATGTTGCAAGTCACTTGCTGCAATCCAAGACCTGAACTGCCGGGAGTGGAATTTGTTCAGGTCACTGGGTTGAGCAAACCCACAAAGATCACAGCACAGCAGGGCGGCCCACACTGGCCTTCCCTACATGGTTCCTGGACGTGTTCTGTTAGATCTGAATACTGTTTGCAAGAAAGGGCTTGGAAAACAGCAGTGCTGTCATTAGTTGCTGAACACACAGGGAGATCAAGTACACATTGGGAGTTATGAGAAAAATATTTGACTAAATACACAGAATATAAAGTATAGTCATTCTAAAGACACTACATTGTGGGGCTGGTGCTGTGGCATAGTAGGCTAAGCCTCTGCCTGTGGTGCCAACATCACATATGGGCTCTGGTTCTTGTCCCTGCTGCTCCTCTTCCAGTCCAGCTCTTTGCTATGGCCTGGGAAAGCAATAGAAGATGGGTCCCTGCACCCGTGTGGAAGACCCAGAAGAAGCTCCTGGCTCCTGGTTTCTGATCGGCCCAGCTCCCACCATTGCAGCCATTTGGGGAGTGAACCAGTGGATGGAAGACCTCTCTTGCCCTCTCTGTCTGTAAAGCTACCTCTCAAAAAATAAATTAAAAAAAATCTTAAAAACATCATGTTGTATCTGAATAATTTTTATGCCAACAAATGACATCAGCCTTATTAAAAACACCCAAAAAGATCCCATTTCAAGATAAAAAAAATTATCAGAACATTCTGTAGTTTTTCCAGAAGACGCAAATGGAGAAATGAAAAAACCTAAAGAGAAAGGCACTATATAAAGACCCAGGACTTTTCTTCATCCATTAACTAAATATTTTCATATTTCCCAGGACTGGCGTCAAAGCGATGTTCTGAAATGGGAAAGAAGTCTGAGTAACTCGGAAGTGGGGTGGCGGAGAGCTGGACAACCCTTATCCAAGGTTAGGTTTTGGTTTGTCACAGCTAATCCTGCCCCTCCGATTGCTGAAGCGGGTATTGCTGGCTCCACTTTTCAGACGAGCACTCTGAGATTCAGCACGGGTATTACCCACGCTGACGAGAGAGCCAAGATTCCGGCCCAACTCGAGTCCGTCTCCCTTAATACCAGCGCCCATAATAGTCTTTGTTATTAATTCACACAGACTGAATGGCGATGGATGAAAGACGCTGAGGGGACATCGGTGGGTCTTCCGGGACAGCCGCTGCGCCCCTCCCCGGGGGCGGGTGGAGGCGCTGCCCTCCTTGGAATCGCAGCGGCGCTTTTTGGGAACAGTCGTCTGTCAGACCCTGCACTCCGCTGGGGACCTCACTTCTTAGCAGAACCCCACTGGGTGGGGGCTATTATTACTACTCTATATTACAGGTTGGGAAACTGAGCCGCAGATAAGCTGTTCTCTTCCTCCTGCGTACTCGACTAGCGAAACGCTCAATAAAGCGCTAGTTCGCGACGCTTTCTCCGGACCGGCTACTCTGCAAGGCCACACACAACCCGCCTGCACCCCCACCGCCGAGTGACGTCACGACGGCCAATCCCACCGCGACGCCGGGCTGGCAGCCGCTGCGCATGTCTCGCGAGAGCTATGGCTTCCTCCAGCCTGACTTGGACATGCGCGCGGCGCACGGCGCTTCGGCCACAGCAGTTTGATGGTTTTCTGTCAGTCTGTACACTAGAGCTTTGAGAAAGCACTTCTAACCTTTCAGCCTCCCGAGATATCGCGAGACTTGCTATTCTGCCACCGCCCCCCCCCGCCACCTCCTTGCGCCTGCGCAGATCTCTTCGAAGCAGAAGGTCGCGCTTGGAGGAAGTGGAGGCTTTGGGTCCCGTGACCGGAGCGCCGTTACTACTTTTCTGAAGCTCCTCTCGGCCGCTTGCCGAGACCACCTGTCGCCAAGATGCCTCGAATTATGATCAAGGGCGGCGTGTGGAGAAATACCGAGGTGAGTCTCTTTTCCCGCCGTCCGCTGCCCTCCGCCCCCTCCGGCAGCTTGTGCGCACGCGCGCGCGCGGGGGCCGGGGAGCGGACGAGGATGCCCTGTGGGGTCTGCGTGGGGCGGGCCGGGCCGCGCAGCGCCAGGGCCGACGACCCTCGGCGCCTCAGCGCTGTTCCCCGCCAGGGGTGACGGGAGCGCCCCAAGGACCGGCGGCTCGGCTCCGAGCTCACCGTCAGGCACTTGTTAGGCCCTTAGCGAACATTTGTTGAGTCGAGGCCGCGCCGCCCCGGCCCCCTTTCCCCGAGGTCCCCACTGGGTGGCAGGAGGGGTGGGACATCCAGGAGAGGTGATCTTCCGGGACGCTACCCCCCCTCAGCTCGCGGCTGTCTCTGGCACCCCAAAACTAAAGAACTTGGTGCAGCCACAACTTTGTTTCTTCGCTGACTTCTTGCAGAGAGGGGAAGCAGCTTGCATACCGAGTTCTCGGCGCCCGTTTCTGCCTGCATCCGTCGGTTTATCCGTCAGCCAGGCACAGCCTGTGCGCGCTCTCCCGACAGATGCCAAGGCCTGTCTCTCTCTTAGCTTCCCGTCTCTCCGCCTTGGCATGGCTTGAAGCCAGATAGGACAGACTGCTGCGGGTAGTGTCGTAGTGGATCGTGCCATCTGAGAGCCGGAGAGCAGTAGAAAGGGAGCAAGACAGAAATGAGATTTGAGTGCGTTTCGTGTCGAGTGCCCTGGATCGATCAGTTTCTGAGCACGGCTTATCTCGTGTCTTTTATTACCTCTGTGCCTCCTTGCGGTATCCTCGACCCGCTTGGCATCCTCCTGACCTGGTTCAGAAGCCCTTGGCGGCCAAATCTTCGCCTGTTCAGCCTGTGAGCGTTGGTAGCACCCCCCTGTGGGCCCACGGTGCCTGTCATCCACTTGTTGTCGGCTTGCTTTGACTTTTGCCAGTGTCACATCCTTGGGAGTGATGCTGGCAAGTTTCTCCATTTCTCCAAGCCTTAGATTCCTCATGTTTCTGTGGGGATTAAGTGAGCTGCCACATTTGGGACATTTGGAACAGTCGGGAACACAGTAGCCTTTCAGCCAGTGCTAGGCACCTCTTACCTCTCCAGACAGCACTGGGGGAGGGGAGGGGAACAGGTCCTGCTCTTCCTGGAGCACAGGAGAGTAACCAGCGTGAAGTAGTAGGTTGCTTGGCAGATGTTTGTGGAATGCATCTCGGCGGGTACGCGGGACGTAGCTGTGATCTAAGTATTAGAGGTGCAGCACCACGTGACAGATGAAGGCAGTGCAGTGCAAGTCCCCTCCCTTGTGCTGAGGGAACTAGGCTGTTTGAATGGAGAGGAGTTGACTTGTGAGGGAGAGACCCGTGAAAAAATCAAGTAGTAGCAGGATTCCTGTGCTACGGTCAAATCTGCTGACAGATTTCTACAGTTGGCTGTGGAACAGAGCCTGCAAGTGAAATGTCTCAAGTGCATTCACATCTGGCTCCATCGTCCTCCGCGCCAGTGGCTTGGCTTGCCAGGCTGCTCTGGGATTGGTACATTCCGTGTTTGGGTGGCAGCCCTGGTGAAATAGTATCTAGAGTCTGGGGGAGACTGGAGAGAGATGACTTGGGAGGGGTTGTGGAGAGAAATATTTGAATCTCAGGTTAGAACTGAGATATGGTCTAATCTGAGATGTGGATTCTTGGGTCGTGGTGGGGCGGATGGGGCTGGGGAGGAAAGGCCGTGCTTGAACTGGAGGCAGGAAGTGTGAATTGGAGAGTGGTTTCATCTGAGTCCCAACTTGCTTTTTGAGGCCTGGATGTGTCCTATTCGATTCTCTCCCCAAGTATACAAGACCTGGTGCAAGGCAAGTGTTCAGGAAGTGTTTTCTGAGTGAAGGTGTAAATGAATGAGCTGTGCCTGCTTGAAGAATGACAGCCACATATTGGAGAATACTTTTTGTTAATCTCTGTCCGAAAGTAGGGTTGCTCAGAGGTGGTTGTTCCCACACACAATTGGGTGTGTGTTTATAAGGAACAGTAAGATGTCCTAAGGAATTTCTTAATTTCTTGCATTTTGCTGGTTGCTTACTGTTTATCATTATGGTCAGTGAGGTTTTTTGTGTGTTTAAAAATTCTTATTTCTTAAGTACATTTGAAATATTTATTTTTTTAAAAGATTTATTTTTTATTTGTTTGAAAGAGCGATGGGGGTAGGGAGGTGGCAGGGAGAAGAGATCTTCCATTTGCTGGTTCACGCTAGGCCAGGAGCCAGGAACTCCATCTAGGTCTCCCATGTGGGTGGCAGGGGCCCAAGCACTGGGGCTGTCTTGCACTGCCTTCTGAGGCACATTTAGCAGGGTGCTGGATTAGAAGTGGAGCAGGTGGGACCTGAACTGATGCTCCAAGATACAAGATTCCAGCATTGCAAATAGAGGCTTAATCTGCTATACCACAATGCTGGCCACTTATGTCTGAAAAGTGGAGTGACAGAGATCTTCCATTCACTGGTTCATTCTTGAAATGATCATAACAGCCAGGGCTGGATCATGATGAAGCCAAGAGCTAAGAACTCCATCCAGATCTCCCACTTGGATGGCAGAGACCCAGGTACTTGAGCCTTCATCCACTGCTTTCCCAGGCTCATTAACAAGAAGCTGGATTGGAAGTGGAACAGCTGGAGATTTTTTTTAAAGGTTTTGTTTATTTGAGGGGTAGAGTTACAGACAGAGAAAAAGGTCTTCCATCTGCCGGCTCACTCTGCAAATAGCTGCAACAGCAGAGCTGAGCTGATTGATCCAAAGCCAGGAGCCAGGAGCTTCTTCTGGGTCTCCCATGCGGTTGGGGGGGGGCCCAAGCACTTGGGCTATCTTCCACTACTTTCCAAGGCCATAAGAGAGCTGGGTTGGAAGAGGAGCAGCTGGGACATGAACCGGTGCCAATATGGGATGCCAGCACTGCAGGCAAAGACTTAACCTACTATGCCACAGCACCGGCCCCACAGTAGGGGATTTAAACCATTACTCCAATATGGGATGATGTGTGGTATGCTGGCATCGTAAGTGGGGCCTTAACCTGGTGGGCCACAGCGGCAGTCTAAATTTATTACTACTTTTTACTTGAGAGACAAATTATGAGCTCCCATTCACTGATTGATTCCCCAGTTGCCCACACTGGCTTGGGCTGGGTGAGTGCCAGAGCCAGGAGATGAAAACACCATCCAGGTCTCCCATGTGATTGACAGGAACTCAGTTGCTTGAACCATCACCACTGCCTCCCGGGGTCTGTAGTGGCAAGAAAATGGAGTCAGGAGCCAGAGCTGGGAATTGAACTCAGGTGCTCAGATGTGGGGTGCATGCTAACTGCTAGGCTAAACACCTGCTGCTGTATTTTTTTTTTTAAACAAGTGTGTGTGTGTGTGTGTGTGTGTATGTCTCCCTATAGCAACCCTCTCAGAGCTAATTTAGATTTTGTCTTTCCTCCTTGAAATTTTTGATTGAATGTACTCTTTTTCTTTGGCTTTTTAGGATGAAATTCTGAAAGCAGCGGTAATGAAATATGGGAAAAACCAGTGGTCTAGAATTGCCTCACTGCTGCATAGAAAATCAGCAAAGCAGTGCAAAGCCAGATGGTATGTAACAAAGAATAAGTGGAAAACAAAATTACCTTAATTATGTGAGGAACATGTTCATTCTTTGGAACATATCAAAGAAAGCAGGCATTGTGATATAACAGAGTATGGAGTAAGAGATGAAAATCTGGATTTTAGACTGTCACTTGCTTCTTAGGTGATCTTAGGCATGCCATTTTTTTGTCCTCTGTTCCCTGTCCCTGTTTTCTCCCAATTAGGGATGATAATACTTGGCACTAACTGATGAAGTGTGAGGCCCCATCTAAATGAGTAAATGTATTTGAGAGTGCTTTGTGGAGCATAAAGATCTACTTTTAGAGACAGATGGGCCTCACTTATAAACAAATAGATTGTGTTCCAAAAATGTATAAAGTGGTTCTTTCAACTTCCTCCAAGAAATAAATAATAAAGAATGGTTAATTTTCAGGCAAGCTCATAGTAGTTGAGGTTCTTTATAGCAGAGTTGAAAGGGTGTATATTTACTACCATAAAATATAATATAAGCCAATACTACACCTATGGTGTCACATTTTAAATCAAAGGACATATTAAACTATTTACTAGTTGTGTTCTTGGTATCAGTCCCAACCCATCTGGTATTGTGATCATTCTTTGGGTTGTACAAGAGTGATCTAATTTTTCAGGATCTGGACAGAGGTAAAGATCAGAATGCAGGGCTTGAACTCCAAAGAGCAAGATGATTCTCACACTGAGGAAAGGCTTCTGATTTGTTTCTGTTAGTGACACAAAGCTCCTGGTCCACTGTTTGGCAGGATTTACATTATGTCTGCCAATCTCTCATCCAGCTAAGCAGACCATCTGGAAGATAGGTTGGATGGGGCTTTAAGAAAGATAAAGGATGCCATAATAGTTTTACCTAAATTTTAAAAATATCAGATGAAAGCATATGATGTTGAGAAACATCTAGCAAAGATCAGATGCTGAAAG